AATTTAGTAATGTATCATATGTCACAAAAAATGTGATTAAAGCCAAATAACATAGCAACTAGGTCGTATTGTTTACACTGGCCCTACAATTCTTTTTCAATTTAAAAATTAAATATTTGTTAAATATGATCTTAGACTTGAAATTCAATCTTTTTGTGAACCGATGCTAAGATAACACATCTTAAGTTGTTTCAGCGTTTAAAAGAGAGAAAAATAATTGGATTAATGCAAACTTGCTATAACGGTGTGTTCGCCTCGACAACAATGCATTGAAACCAAATAAAAACAGTTGACTGAACCGTACAGGGACAAGGCCAGCGTGAAAAAACTGAATTAATAATTTACATACATCATGTCCAGGTAGGAGTCAGTACATAATTCAGAATAGGTGGTTTATCCGCGTAAGCCTGCGTAATTGGATTGGTACCAGTTCTTAATGATACCATATCATCGTTTGATTGTGTCATCCTTCAAACATACTTCTAGATTACAGTCAAACGCATATCTCAGTATATTAGATAGAACTGAAGTCGCAGGATTTAAAGCTTTCACTGTAACAGCACCTTAGACAGATCATGGAAGCCCTCATACTCGGGCAGGGACATTTAAAGAAAATATAAATTTGTAGATAGATCTTCGCCTCATTAAACAGAAGGACGACAAAAGTCATATAAGATGGACCTCTTTTCCAGATATATAAAGCAACTTTTCCAAAATTGCCTCAATTTCAAGATATTAAATTTGTAAAAAGGTATAAGCAGACAATTAAGAGATTTTTTGATATTTATGTATTCGTATTTCCTATAAATGTAGGTGTTCCGATGTACATTTAGTTCGTAATTCTGTCACGCTCTTACTCTATGATTCTTTCTTTTAATCGATACGGGGTAAATTGTTTTGTTGACTGCTTACTACATGGCTTAAATTGTAGTTCTACCTTATGTCATCAAAATGTGATATATAAAACATTGTTTCAAAATTGGATAGGCCAAACTTTGCAGGGAGCCTGTATTATCAAATAAAGGTTGATTCATTCAATGGTTCCATGCCTTGGCGTCTTTTACGAATGGCGTTCATTTAATTCATTATTTATCCGGAGCCTGTGCTACACGGTTTATTAAATTAAGGTTAATTAAAATGAATCAAAGTTTTCCCAAGTGGCAAATAAACCGAAACAAATGTATTTTTAGCATGATTTTATGGAAAGGTGCCATTGGAGGTACTATTGAACTTGGCTGTAGCACAAAATCTGTGGTTTGCCAATGAAATTATAATACGCTTATAAAATGATGAAGATTTTAGATTTTCATGTTGCTTCAAAGAACCTCGTGAGTAGCTCGGCTAATGAAACGACTTAGGTAAAGCTCATAGGAAGAAAATTGTTTCAGCCTATATATGCAGCGTTCACATCAATGAAGTTACAAAACTGTTGCCCAAAATCCGAGATGGTTTGAAAAAAGCTCATCGTTTGCGTTTTACAATGACGCCCAGAGTTGGCGATATCACTTGATCCAATAGTTTTTGATATAGCTTGTTTTTCAACAGCTCTGGACTGATGAATGTTTTTTTCGCATGCTAACTTTAAGTTAACCATTGTGCAGTTAATCAAGTAAATCCCGTTAACCTAGGTGTGTTCGTTTCCGGTTACCATGGTTACAGCCAATGCGGAAAACATGATAATATTGTCGATTAACAGATTAATACTGTCCCAATATTCCATTGTTAGGTTAATAACTCCGAAATGGAAACTGCTGCAACTTTTAAATGTGCTCGAGACATGCGTACGACTCTTAGTATAGACTGCAGGCTTACAACAAGCTTTCTAGTTCAATCATTTGCAAAGTCATAGTCGCTAAATCTAAATATTATGTGGATCATAAATTCGATTTATCCCTATTAATATAAAGATACCTCAGCTCTGTGATCAATATTACGGAAATAAACGATGGAATAACGTTGAATTAAAGAAGATGGTTCCTTGGAATGTTGGCTAAGACGTGTGATAGCCTACATTTTGTGTCTGCTGATGCTCATAATCAAAAGGACTTTGGATATTAAAATCAAAATAGAATCAAAAACATGAAAAAATCATAATTGACAATGAGAGACTGAACAAACCCAATGAACTTGAAAATGTTTACAAAAAAACACCGGGTGTACTAGTCCGCCTTTCCGTACATGAAGATCATGGTCCTGGCTAATATACTTGTCGACAATTAACACACAGACATAACACACAGGGCCTGAGAAAATGAAAATGTGTAAATAATTGTAGCAGAAAAAACATCCACTAAATGACTGATACACAAAATTCGAGATTTGACGATTTCTCAATGCAGTACAACAATACAAATGTTATACAGGTGACGATAACTCGGTAAGAGAATAATTTCATGTAAACGCTGGTTACAAAAGTAATGTTGACACGACGCCGTCAGATTCATCAATAAACTTGCATTTTATCTTCAAAGATATTAGGGTATACATCAATATTAAATAATTTTTTTCATTCGCTGAATAGAAGTCCCTAACTCGAGATTAATCTCTCGCTTTTCGAAATATTTTCGAAAAATAATCTGACTATGAAAATATTGGATTAGAATTTAGTAGGAAAACAAGGTCTTTTAAAGTGAAGAAATACTTGAATTGGTTGCATAATCGTTGGAAAGCACTTTGCAACTTGTCATTGTGCACAGCGTGTAAGCTTGATTGGGTTAGGAAGAGCTATTCAAGCAATATAATATTTCCATTTCCGAATCCGAATTTTGTTTTGGTTGGAATGTTTGTAAAATGTTAGGTGACGTTGTGTTTTGGCAACTAAATACATTTGAAATTTTCCTCTTACTGATGTCTGGCATTTAAGATGCATTCGTTTTTCTTAGATTGAATTTAAAAATCAATCGTGTGTCTGTTCATGAATTGTCTGCAGTGAGATGTTTAAACTAATTGTGGTAATTTGTAATAACCGAATGATGTCGTGGAATATAGTACACCATGTGCGTTTCCTCGCATCACAATGTTATTAACATAAATAAGGGTTATGTACTGGGAGGTTTTGGATATGGGGTTTATCCAGAGGGAGATATGCATATCTACCTGAGGGACCGTAGGGACTAAAATTTTCAGTAATAAAGTTTTCAGGGGCATATGGCCATTTCAATAGTACAAGGTGTAAAAATAAACAAATCGTTCATATGCAAAGTCATTTTATTGCATTTCCACTTTTATTGGAAGCGGGAAGATATGCCCCGAAGCGGGAAGATTTCTGGATATCTGAAGGTTCTGGATATGGAAACCTCAAATCAGGATACGGGATATATCTTACCAACTTATCTCCCTAAAACTCTACTTGACATAGGATAAGGGTCTTTATCTTTCTATTTGTTTGTAATTTTCGTCTTAATGTGTATCACTTAATAGCAAGCTAAATCAATATTGAGCAAAAGAAGGCAGTATTGATTCCCCCAGTTGCCTCAGAACATTTTTATGTGTCATATGACAATGGACTAATACAGAGATGGCAATAAATTCCTATTTTATGTTCGAGTGGATAGCAATAGCGAGCGCGAAAATAAACACCGTTACTAGGTAGAGAAATGAATGACAACCATAATTCAACATGAAAATGGATAAACAAAGAATATACAACTTGCTTATAAAGATGTAAATCTGTAATAAAGTTTTATGATAATTGTAATTAGATGCTGTCTTTACAGTTAAGTTGCGATGTACGTGGTTACATCACACGTTTCATAATCCTAGTTCTGTTTTTTACATTTTAGCTCATTTTTCAACAGTTTTTTTCAATATGATTAGAACAAAAGGAAATGTCACTGATGACAATCGAGGCTGTCTACTATTTGTACATTTAAAAAATTATAATATTGTTATTTTTCACAGAACACTTAGACTGAGTAAAGCTAAGGATTAGACTTAAACTAAGTCTCCATGTAAACAACATATTCACCATGCCCTAAACTCTAAATGATACGAATCGTTAAGTCAAATGCTAAGTGCAACTGGATAAAATGCGCTTATTTGAATTAGAGGCCATAGTAACGACATGGTTCTCTTTGAGCAATGGCTTGATCTTGTAGGGATACATCTTACTCAATAAAAATGTGAATTTGCAAGAGGCTTGGAGTCAATTCTATTGGATTAAACATAAAAATTTCATGAGGATAATCTAAGCAATTGTTGATAGACTCTGGTTTCAAGCCAAAACCATGCCTAGAAACAACTATAAAAAATAGCTAAAGGCATTCTACCAAACCATATATTTGCGGATGATATGAATAGCATTAACGTTATTAACGAATAGGATATTCTTTATGACAAAAATAGTGACTTAGTCACACGTATGTTGCAACATAACTTACCATACGATTTCTTTCTTGAAAGATCATCGGCTATATAGCGAATATGACAATGTAATATGAACATAGAAAAGGTTGTAAGGAGTCAATAGTCAATAAAGTTAGTAGAATCAAAATGACAAAAGCACATTGGTTTCAAAACTACAAAATTTCAATCCAATCCGTTGAAAATGGAGGCCGATTGAATTTAAATCAAGTGAACGCTCCCCTGTTGCTCTCAACCGCGGACAAACGGGGCTTGAGCGCTCCAGCTGGCGCAAGAGGCAACGGTATCAGGCATTCCTTGGTCGTAAACCCATTGTAAGTTACTGCGGTAATTAAAAACCATGGTAACAATTAAACACTAAATGTCATCATGAACTCCAATGATCAGTATTTATGCTAAATATAAGGTCCATGGAATAAATGATTTAGATGAGATATTTAGCTGGATATTTTGTGTTTCCATGCATCATAGGATGAAATACATCACCTGAATGACAGCATTTCAATACACCGCAGTCACCAAACTATTGATCAACCAGAGCTAGAATTCAGGGTCTGACTTCTGAAGAATGAATTACCATAAGCCGCCCATTTTTATTAATTCACACCTTTTCAGTATTTCCTTTTTTATATTTTCAGCTTAGATAAAAATGGCAAATCGGCTCCACAAGAGAGGTTGCCCCCAGCTAACAGAAATGGTCTTGTTGCGTCAAACCATTTCACAAGTAACTCTACCACTGGAAATCAGAGGGGCCATGGGTCAAAAGGACAAAGGTCAAGGCCGGGCCATAGGTCACTCCCGGGTAGTCGAACTAAAGACAAAAGTAAGGCTGCATTGTGTAATAGTCAGGGTATGGTATTTGATTAAATCGATAAATGATTAAGGATCGATAATAGATTAATTATGACTCGATGATTAATCAATTATTTGATAGATTCTCAATCGCTTTGACATCGTCTCACGCGGGCTCACATTCAATGACTGGGGATCCACTCGATTACGCTGGCTACCGCTTCGGTAACAAAATGTCGGAACCTCGAAGGTACGACATTTTGTTACCGAAACCAACCGTTTTGGTAACCAGCGTAATCGAGTGGATCACCATTGCTTATCTTATCAGAATGGTGTTTCCGAATATTAGCATTCATAGTTGCGTAACTTGTGTGTGTGTGATATTTTGCCTTAAAATTAGCAGTAGCTCTTAAGTGATTCTTGCTTAGAGAAATCCTTGCAGTGTGGAAAATCACGATTGCCACAAAGAACAAATAAATAGTGTTAGTGTAAAATGAGACAAAGTGAACTAGTTTGGCCACTATGATGAGCTTGAAGTCTAATTTGGTCTCATTTATTCTATACTATTTATTCTTTGCTTCGGCACTAAGTAGAATTTACACATGACTTACGTAGTTTACTAATTTTTCTTGAAATATAGCTGACGTTCAAAGACAAGTTAGCTCCGCCCCGCAACAACAGGGCGCTGCAAATGACCAGCCATTACCAAAAATAAACACTCTAGTCGATGGACCCATTCAAAGCGAGGGGAATTCCAAACCAAGTAATCTGAGTACATCTGAAAGGGTTGTGCCAATATTAAAAAACTGTGGTAAGAGATCTTGTAGAGTTGAAAATAAAAATGCATGGTAGTTGTGGGTTGTACGCACTTGTTATATGCCTATAGAGGGAGTGCATGAAAACACGAAACTGATTGTCTAGATTGTTTTTCTATATCTCTGAAGCAACACGCTTTTTATTGCAATATAGACATTGTACATATACTAATTAGTGATGCTTGTTTGCTTGATATAATATAAAGTACGTATATTAGTGCCACACAGAAGCAATGTAAGTTCATACGTTTTGACATGTTTTTAACAAAATAAGGCTCTCGTGTTCACCATAACAAATATCAATTCATTTATTGCTCATATATTTCAAATAGCACAGTTATTTAATGTTTCTGGTTATTTTCACCAAAATGATATTTTGGGAAATCCTGACCGGGGGTTCGTTCGAACCCACCGAACCCCCGCTGCCTACGGCTATGCATTATTATAATGCCCAAATAGCTTTCACCATTAGGATGTATATTTTCACATTAGTTGTACATTATTTTAGGTCCACAGGGAATATCAACAAGGGCGCAAGGTGCTAATCATATCAAGACGTCCAGGTCGAAGTTCGCCACAGCATGGGCCACACAGAGGGCAGAACAAAACATAGGTCTCGACGCCACACCAAGGTAACCTTCCATTAAATAAAGAGAACTTCTGTTCTACAAAAGAAGAAAAATGAATTGGAAAAATGAATTTCATCCGTTAGTTTTGAAGTTCATTATCAAAATCGTTTGATTGGTGGGTATACCAGATTGCAAAACATAAACGTAGAAATAGATGGTAGGCATAAACTAAATGTAGCTCTTTCTGTCTTTCATTATTTTGACTAATAGCATTTTTTATCAGCACGAATGAGTGGGTTCTCTTTAATTTACATCATTATGCTGCCAGTACGATGTTGGTATAATCCTGACAAAAAAGGATTGATTCAACTTTTGTGTTGCTAGTGGGAAATGGCTTCAGGATTTCCCCTGTATCGTTGTTCCCAACACCGTTTTATGTAAAAGGTTACCCTGTACTTGATGTGTACGTTGTTTTTTCAGGGGAGAGGAGGACCAGATTCCAAAGAAATCAACAGACGATGTCCGCTCTCCAAGAAAATCAGCCGCATCTCATAAATCTACAGATGCAAAGCCTGCAAAAGTCAGTAAGAACGACTCAAACAAAAGTGCCAAAAGTCAAAAACAGAATACGAAGAACCAAACGGCTAAATCTGCAAACAAAGAAATAAAATTGGAAAGAACAATTACTCGTGTTAGGCTTCAAAAAGAATTAGAAAGAACTAGGATGGATTTTCTATCAAAACGGAATATTAATGAACACGATCTCCAAGCATGTAATATTTATACTGCAGCAGCTACGACGCTGTGTAAGAACGACTTAAAAAGTAATAGTAGCAAAAAGCTTGATAGCGAAGAAACTCCCGAAATAACAAAAATTCCTCCGTGGCGGAAGAATTATACATTGACGAGAAATGAGGCCAAAATGTATAAATTTTGTAAGTCGATATATGATAGACCAAGTGAGCAAAAACAAAGACAACTACGATTCTACAAAAAGTTGGAAAAGATGCAATTAGAAGAGATGAAACGATATAACGAGACATTAAGGCAAGACCAACTAAAAAAGTCACAAACAAAGATGAAGCAGCAAAAGCAATTGTTTAGAGTACGGCAAAACTGGGAGAAAGAGCGCAACAAACGCTGGGCGAAGCAATATATCTCGTCCAAAAATATGGAAAAATTCCGAATAGATAGACATGATTATGGATTACCAGATGAATTTGATAACAATCCTGAATATGTTGCAAAATTAAAACGCAAGAAGAAACCTGCATATGATAAGTTTGTCGAACAAGTACAACGTGTTAAAAATATGAAAAAATTCGCAGCTATGTTTGACATTAACACAGGACCTGTATGGGATCCTAATTATAAAGAACCAAAGATGACTCGTGATATCACTTCAATAGATACGATCGATAACTATGGTAAGTGTGTATTTGATACCATTCCAGACACCTCAAATTCCCAACTGAAATGAGCCAGCGTGAATTCGAGTAGGTATTTGAAATCCAATAATTCAGCGATTGAAACTTTATTCGACAACCATCGTGTAAAAATCACAATAGGGAGTTTAAGTTTGCAATGTTTATCACAGCCTAAAATATTTAAGCGATGCATTTGTATGGGCGATTGGTCATACGTATAGGTTGGCGTTTCGATTTTTATGCTAGCTTAAACTCCCTATGTATATATGTATTTGTAATGTGTAATTTCGATCGAGCGAGTTAAATCATTGGATACATATTTGAGAAAATTATCTGCATGAATCCCTAGCTAGTACCTGCCATTTTTGTCTTGTACGAACTCGATTATATTCAAATGAGATCTCATTTGTATGCCTTATCTTATAGGTAAGAAGGTCAAAAAGAAAGTGAATGTGAAGAAGGAGTTACAAGATATCAAAGCAATACTAAAGAAAGGTAAGTGACTCCTTTAATTTATTATTTGAACCCTTTGTTTAAAACAAGTAATAAAGAATTCATTCATGTGCTGGATTCGAACCGAAAACTAGCTGGAATACGTGCTATAAATGCTAACTCAATCTTCACTATGATGCCATCTTTACTGGAACCAGCTCACAACATGTGTTTCATGATCTTGTTTCAAATAATTCTAATCAAAAAATCAAATAGCAAGAATTGCACATCACATATAGAACATATCTGATGCATTCATAGTAATATAGCCATATTACCTATTTAAAAACGTGCAATTGAGCAATATTCTACAGTATTACATAGTACATACCCAGCGAAGCATTTGTATTGAAGTCAATGGAGCTGAAGGTCGGCAATATATTCCTGTATAGCCGCCAAATCTTTTACCATGACAATCTTATGACTTCATCGGGACGTCATGTTTCATTTCTTCCTACTTTCACTCGCACACAGACACGTGGCGTCATTGATATAACGTAGACATGATATAAAGTATGTAATACAACAGTTATGTCCGTATCATTGAATATATGCCTTCGGTCTGTCGTAATATAACCCTCGCAAGCTCAGGCTATATTGGTGACAGACCTTAGGCATATATTCAATGATAGGGACATAACTGCTAAAAGTATTCCAAGGTTGGCCCTTGTTCTTGGTTTCATTGTTTAAATAAACGTAATGGAATGTCGTTCGTTTAAATGAAGGACGTCTTATACTACACACGTGTAAAATCCCTTTTCGCTTCAGATAACACGGGCAGCGATGACGAGGAGAATGACAGTGATGACGACGACGATGACGACGACGACGACGACGACGACGACGACGATGATGATGTCTCTAATTCTATGAAGTCATTGGGATTAAGTGAAGATTCCGACGATGATGATGACGACGATCTGTTCGAAAAGGCCAGGAAGAAATATGGCCTTGACTTGGATAGTGATGACGTCGATTCGGACGATGATTAAAATCGAAAGTACATTTTGGATATTTTATAATTCATGTGACCTGCAGTTGTCGCATAATCCATTTACAAGCAAGATGTGCTACTTACAACATTATCACAACCGATCATGCAAAATTGAAACTATTTTGTGATCAAATCAAAAAGTATTCGTTTTATTCTCTATAATGGGCGTGCTTTTTGATTTAGCATCGTTGTATTCATGATCTCCTGCCAATGGTCTCAAATGATTAAAATAAAATGTTAATTGTACTTTTCAAACTTATGTTCTGTGTCACGGTTAAATATTTTTAATTCGAATACACTGACAACTTCCAAACACAAGGCCATACATAGATAGAATGAACGTACTTAATAATAATGATGTGTACATGTATGTGATGCACTGAGATCGGAGAATGACTGTTTTGTTAGTCGATCTGACTGACTAAAGTATATTAGTATTGCCACAATTTGTCACAAAGTTACTTTCCACTTTCTCTACACTAGTTTTTGTTGCACCTTTAGTAGAAACAAGCATATCCAACACTAGATAGTCCAGGGTCTTGAAGCAAGACTAGCACCTCATCCCCAACCAATCAGCAATCACTACCAGTCACAATCCCAAAGAACGAAACCATGAGACGATGTATTTTGACGAACAACAAGAATATAATGACATCGAATCTATAACTAGATAGAAGGCTTCTCATACAATCTTTTAGTTTCAAGATGCGAGACGTATGAAATTTACTATTTAAGTCCATCAATGGCCGGTCAACATCAGTATGTCGATACCGCCATATATAGTCGTCATTATGAAACATGTCATGAATATTAATGATCGTTTCATCAAGACAGAGCATCATTATTAAATCATTAACATTAGATTATAATGAGGTTTAATTTTAATTAAATCTTGTTCAAGCGAAAATACTCTCAACATTTAAAAATGGCGTTTACGTAAGAGTGAAGTCTTATTGCAAATTACGCATTTGCATTACAGATTTTATAATATATAACTAATACCCACTACCCAATACCTAAGTCACATAACACTTTCTCACTACGTTCTTGAAATCTGTAGTATGATATTTCTGAAAACTTCATTTAAATTGGTCGGATTTTGAGCTTTACTTTTTTAAAAGAATAATAAGAATTGTTAACTACTCCAGGGAGTTTCTCAGGCCAATAATGCCAAGTTATACAATCATATGGCTCTGTACATTTTGAGCTTTTTGAGTAAATGCCAAAGACAGAGCCTTGTGGACCACAAGCCCGCCACCAAAATGGACCACGATAATACACAGCACAACTTTCACTGTAGTCATCATTATCCGAATCCTTTGTGGAGAATTGCCCATGGTTGTTATTAAGCATCGAATCACCCGCTGTGCCGCTGTAACCATCAATGTTTAATCTGTATTTGTCCTTTTCATCATTAATGTCAAATGTCATGTATTCTGCGTATCTTGTTTCATTCTCCCATGTTGTCAGGTCAAACCTGGCTTTGTACCTCTTCTGTTGTAACACAGAAACAATGTTGTCCATTCCTATAAAGTGTTCTCTTAAAATATTGCCGAAACCCTGTCTGTATGAAGCCCATTCAAGGTTGAACTCGACACTTCCATCGAAGCGGTGTGCAAGTATGAGCCAACCGCTTTCACATCTTGCAAGAAACCGTTTACCAGTCCTTGTGGTTATTATGTGGACTCCATCCGATTGCCCACTGCAATCTTCTGCTACAGAAATTGTGACATTGTTACGAAGTTCTGGAAAACCAATAGCAAAAACATTTGGAAGTGAATAAGGATAAGATTTAAACCAAGTTAAACCATCTGCTGATTTGTTTGAAATGGCGAGATTCCAAGGACCTTTTTACAATATTTTTTGTAAGTACTGATTGATTGATTAAAATCTATTTAACTTTTACCCACCCAGTCCATTTGAGAAAATCTTGTACATTCAATTAAAGAGACAAATAAGAATGAGTTAGTAAAGTTGGCACAGTTTATCAATTATTGGCTGACAGTATTTCTTGTCATTCCTTTTTTTTTAAAAAGCAGTTCTGATTTGATTTGATTTCATGTTTGTAAGTTTAAAGGAAATCTCGCGCTCGGTTCCATCATTTTACACTCTCTGTATAGGCCTATTTTCAAGTTGTTTACATGTAATGTACCTGGATTTGTTTGATCATCTGATCCTGCCTGACACGTTTTTACAATTTTCTTCATTTGTTCCTGAATCATCATTTCAAGATCTTCTTTCAATGTTTCTATCCCCGTTATCGACTCGTTACACTTTCCTAGAAGCCGACAAATAACAATGAGAAACTTAAGTTTGCTTGCCGTCGTTTTAGCCTATTCAGTTCAATTTTTACGTTTATTCCTTTAATTTCGAACTTCATAGAATGATTTGTTACATCTTAATTGATTTTTCGAATACGTATTTACATGTTATTGTACACTGTACATCAAAATTGATTTTCGACGAGTTGCAGATCTTTTTTCCAATCGTTCTTTACCTAATTTGAATAAAGGGGGTACCTATGGTCGTTAGATCTCACCTTATTATAGATAATATCAAATGAAAAGTATATCAAGTTGAAGTATATGTTTCATACGTTTTACACTAATATAATAAAACAATTTACGAGTAATACCATTCTCCGTTGTTTCCAGGCTATTATGTCGAAAGCTCTTTATTTGTTCTTGAATGGCTTCAAACATCCTAGATGATTTATTACACATCTTACAAACTGCAAATACATGAGTACTGTAAAATATTACAACAATTACATTTTATAATGTGCTAATGAGATGATATGCCATATATGCACGTGTTATACTTTGTTGCTATCGAAAAGAAACACTGAAAAGAAAAAGCCGTACTGGTGCACGAAATATTCTTACCTTCAGATTTGACGAGAACACTGGTGTCACTTTCAGTTGATAACACATCATGTTGGCACCCTTTCAGCTGATCTTTAATTTCTTGAAACATTGTAGATGACTTGTTACAAACTGCAAATGAGGAAGAATTAAACATATAATGTACGTCGAATCGCTTATATTACAATGAAAAAGTATGAAACGAGAACCTTATAACAAATCGTTTGATAAATTGTTTTCTTGGATGAGTAGGTAAACATTGTAATCTCACCTTCTGAGACAAACAGTGGTACATTGGTCTCAGTGTCGTCAGTGTCAGCTTTCTCGGTGTTGTCATTAATTGATAGTTCACTATACTGTCTCCTCATTTCTAGCATCGATTCTTTCAGTTCCACAAGATTATCACGAACATCGGATTCATCCACTCTTAGATTGAACAACTCGTCTCTAATACTCGAAATTTTATCAGATTCGCCATCTCGCAAAGTGGACAAATCATCTCTCAAATTGGACACATCGTCCCTCAGATTTGACACCTCGTCTCTTAGACTTGTAGAATCTTCTTTCAGATCTGTTTTCAGGGCAGCCTGGCTTTCAATCAAGAGTTGAATAGCTTCTTTAAGGTTCCCAAATTCAGCTTGAATGACTCCTTGTACGATCCCCTGGCCACCGCCACCACTTTGTTTCTTGCCCAACCGTATACTATGGCACGCTGCATGTTTATGATGATACGCAATATTTTCAGTTTAATCAGAAAATGAAAATAAGTTTAAATTGACAATAATCACCAAATGTTGTAATAATCTACATGCCATAATGGACCATTATCGAGAAAAAGGAATAACAAAAGTCTGTGGCAAAATATTGTCAGTGCTACCTTTGTTAATGGAATGAAATATAGTTATTGAACACAGGTTTGAATTGATAACTTAAGCAAATGAGAAAAATTAATGAATCTGACTTTAAGTTAACAAACATGTTAGAACCTCTAGGTTTTTCTAAGATCACGGCGACTCCAGATTTACAGATCACACTGAATTGCATGATTCGGAATCATATACTCCTAGTGAGTACAAGACATTACTTTTGACAGGGTGATATATGGCTCATGTTAAGACATTTTTGGTGACCATTTGTATTAATATTTCATCTCAGCGCATACAATATGCCATTGTTTTATATTGTAGATTAGTTGAACTGTTCCCATGTACATTGTATCTGTGGTATTGATAAATGCATTAACTATTCCCCTCTAACACCCATGCTGCCATCTATATTTCCATTTATGTAGAAATAGTCAATTGCCAATATCGAATAAGTGAAATAACTCATTGATTATATCAAATGATTCGTGAAATATTAGTGACAAATATAAAAAAAACATTTCTAATATTGCAGTTCTAAAATTATGAATAAAAGAAAAGTAATCTTTTGTCTTGTAACTAACCCTACTATCACACCAAACTAGTCCTCACTACGTTCTCGAAAACGGGCTTCAACTGTGTACGAACGGACTGGACGTACTTAGAACCGTTTGGGGTCTATTTACAAACTTCATCGAACGTACTCGAACGGGTAGGTCCTCTAGAACTTAGAAGATGCTCAAAATGTTCTCTTGGTCGTCACGCTCTACAATTAGACCGAGTGACAACCTACTAATGACGAGCTGGACGTACTACGAACGGAACCGTCGCACTTCAATCCTACTAAGGACGTTTTTACAACGAGTTGAACTGTCTGAGGACGTATTGAGAACGAGGTAGAATTAATTGCAAACGGGTTAAAACTGATTAAGAACGTACTTATCAACGAATTAGTCAAAATATAGCTATCACACCAAGCAAGTTGCCACTGCGTTCTTCAAAACTGGTTTTAAACTGTGTGTGAACGGAATGAACGTAGCTACAACGTTCTACGGTCTGTTTACGAACTTCATGGACTTTCCCGGACGGGGAATGTGATTTAGAATTTTGAATCGATTCAAAATTCGATGGCGACCATACCGTTCTGTAATCATGTCATGATGAACTTCTAGATTAAGGGACGTGTTATACGACGTTGCACACCGACTAGGTGCGACCTGAACGAACTGTGAATGAGATGAACGTATTGAAGACTGTTTATGAACGAAGTAGCTAATTATTTTAGATATATTTCCCGACCACAGCCAGATTGAGCCCGTTTTACGACGTTTTCGTAGGACTGGCAAGAACGGGTAAGAACTAGTTTGGTGTGATAGGGGGTAAGATATATCGGGAAACTTCAAATATCGTATTTATAGTAGTCTTAAAAATAGATGGCAGTCACGATCTTGACTCTAAATACTGTAACATTATGTCGCCCCGGTCCCGTCGCGTTTTATATAGATTGTATTTTTTTAACTATTGATGAATATCAAATGATATTAACCCGATTATAGGATTAAAATATGTATATAGTTGATATTCTAACATACCTTTTTTACCTGTTAATGGTACAGTAAGTCATGATCATACTTTGAAAAAGAGACTTGGTACTGTTTGTGGCTCTGCATTTTTCTACAAGTCACCTGAAATGAGTATTTGTGTCTGTGTTTGTGTATGCTCACCCCGGGATGCTCACATTGATTTATTAGAAATTTCGTTCTCCTAAATTCAACCATCCATTCTAAGCTGAAATTTCAAACTAGTTTGAAAAATAGTTGTAATTTGGAATACAGGTGTTCCAAAAGTTACAGGTGCTGGCATTATGTTAATTCTGCACCAAGTGTCTTCAATTTTTACAAGTATTGCGACTAACAATGTAACGTTTAAAAAACATTATAAATTGCAGGTATAGTTATGGTTACTATAGTGACGTGACATTTCAATCGATGTGACAGGTTAAGTTGTCCCCCGTGAATAGTTGTCCTACATTATCATATAATATCTGGCACTAACTAACCTTGAATTGATAAATACTAATAGAGAAATCTGGTAAATCAACCCAATGTATAAACTACAAACTATTAACTTGTACTGCTAGGGAGATTGATCTCAATGGGCTCAATGGGCATCTGTGTCTGTCGTAAGACTTCAGGTTTGGTTTTTTGACTCCTTGAAGTCCGTTATGTCGATTTGCATATCTTTTGAATGGGAATAGGTTTTTGAGGTGTCCCTGAAGAACTTAATTTATCTGTGGTGTTATCTGGGCAATTCTGATGTGACTTTGTCCATTTAACAAGTTATCTTCCCAAAAGACTGTGTACTCCCCCCCCCCCAACCCGTGTACTTCGACTTCCCAACACACTTGGGGGTACACAGTCTTGAGGCAAAACTATTTAACAAGGGGTGCCGCGCATTTCGACGTTGTTCACCTACACCTCTAGTCGGACTTTAGTGATAACCCTGGTGTGCCCAATTTTGACTTATTCAACCCGATACAAACATTGAACTATCCAAAGATTGACTGTCAAAAATATATTCCGATACTGTAAACCAATTACAGATCAACAATTCTTAAATATAACTGAAAGGTGGACACTCTTCCTCGGCAAATTCCGTCAACATTCCCCTTTGGTGCATTTTGCGGTCAATTATTAAGATTATTGACCGCACCTAACCAGATCAGAATGGACAAGCTTAACTGATGAACTAACGATACAAACTGACTTAATTTTAGTAAGGTTTACTCGGGTCCTCTTGACGGCCTGAGAGAATCTACTATAAGAGTAGTTGCTAAAGGATAGTCCAGATCAGAATGGAATTTAAGAGAATTGGAGAAAATCAAACAAAGAACTAAAATAAATCTGATTTGGCCAATGAAATGTACATTTTATTAGTGAAAGACGTATTTACAGATAGAAACGAACTTAAGTTCCACATTACAAATACAGTACACCATGCTGCTTCAATTTTTCCTACAGTCGATGAATACATCACATGTAGTCAATACTGTTCACATGTATACATGTGTTTGTGTTATACATTATGTTTGCTCAATAATCACGTTCAGTGTCCGGTGATCATGTCCATCATAGTCCGATTGAACTGTCCATCATTTTTCAGCAATACCCTGTCTATTTCTGGAAATATTTGAAGAGAATTGCGAATGCGTCGCAGCAAGGATCGCACATGCAATGCACGCACAGACCGTAGAGCCTCTGGCAGATGTTGCAGTTGATGTCGAGGACCTTCAGGTTGGGAGTGATGCACCAAACGTGCTCAAATGCGATAATTCCGAATGTGCATCCCCAGTACAAGGCAATGCAAATACCACACATACAGGTCAGAAGTTTGTAGCAGAGACCTTTGCCGCATTCAAAGCATTTGTAGGAGTTGGACCAGATGCAGTCCATGGAATGGGCGGCATCGGGTTCGGCGATGCATTCATCGAAGGCAACTCCCTGAAAGGAGAATCATATGAAAAGTATAAGTAATATGCCTAAACATAAACAAAAATATTAGTTAACAGATTTTGATCTCTTAGTTGATAATTAGAGTCATTCTAAGTTTACCATTGTATTTGAATTTGAAAATGCTAAAACGACTTCATGAATCAAATATTAAGTTCATCTTAGATAAATATTTTGGCTGGATTAATGAATTTCTATACCAAAAGTTTTATGCAAAGTTCTTTTAAACAATCACGTTTCCTAGACGATCATCAAATATCGACTTTAAACATATATACATTGTAGTATAATGGTCGTTATAGCAACCGGTAAAATGAAATGAAAATGGCAGGAATAAAATAGTTGAATGATTCCAGTAGATATCAACAACAGACTACCTTGATGGAACTGTAATGTTAATAAGTGTTTAAAACAAACAAATTGTTTGAGATCATGGATTTTCGATACATTTATCTTTAGGTAAATTAAAATTAAAAGTTTTCATGCAATTATGGCAAATCATTCGTTATCTCAAACAATTTGTTTGTTTCAGTGGTACTAAATAGTATTTTCCGCAGTTGAAAATAAAACATTAGTTAGATACTTTAAATCCATTCGTTGTTATGGCAAGGGCTTCCAAGAAAGTAAGTTACCCGAAACAAAGATCAAAATGCGGAAAAACGCTAAAATACTCGATTTTGTTAAAATTGACTTACCTGAAGATGAGCATTGATGCTCTTGGGATCACGGTTCAATAAATCCACGACGTCACTAGACATTTTTATTGTTTTATTTCGTCGCTCCTGGAAAGACTTCTGTACACGCTGTGGCTTTTCCCGTAAATGGCGGTCGTTTGTGGCAATCGTATTTAGTATTATGGCAACGACAATACCATGATTTTAAATGTTAAGTCTTTCCTTGTCGACCACTCATGAATATTCAATAGATTTTCCGATATTTAAATGGTAAGTCTATAGCCTATATTACGTAACCTATTGTTGAAAGTGAATGCTTGGTAGTATCGCTAAAGCAGGTACAAATAGTGACAAGTAGGGACCGATCAATTTAGATAAATTAAATTCGGAATTAAAAGTTACTTTGTTCTTTTAAGAGCATTTAATGTGGCATAATATATTATTTAGAAACATGTCTTCGTTATTTATAGAATTGATATATTCGATTAAAACAGTATTTATTCTATTTAAAAGAAGTAATTTATCCATAGAAACTGAGCAATCCCTTCTGTCCATGGAATAATTTATTTGCTAGCGTGATTTAGATAATCTCTTAAGCTCACAAAGGCGCTTTCTGAGGTTCAGGAGTCGGGGTTGTCATAAACAAACCCTTAATCTTCGGACTCAGTAATATTGAATACATGTCGGGTGTAATGTGGTTCGGCAAACAAAATATTCGTAAATATTTCGAACCGAAACACTTGAAAATCCAATGTCAGGAAAAGTGATAATTTAAGTGCAATAGTGAATCGAGAATTGATTTCTCCCTCTGATGTGTGTTTCTATGTTTATCGCTTACATTCTTTTCCCTTCTTTTCGAAGAATTCTACAGAGAGATTTTTAAGTAGTGTCTCTTTTAATATTGTAGTGCTGACTTTGATAGCTGGTTTAATTGATACATATGGTTTGTTGGGGCTTTCAAATGGTAGATTAACGCCAATATGTTGTCCGATATGATCAATTATTGCACCATGATTCGACTGGTCGTTCTCTCTACAGAGAAATTGTGAATGGCGCAATCATAGAAAATGCAATCCATCACAAACACTACAAGAATACAACAAACGATATGATCGTATATTGGAATCAAAATCGAATGTTTGAAATGACGATACAAACCATTTTAAAAGCTCTAGTAAAGATTTTAAAGCAGGAATATTCTCCAAGTGTAGTTAGTAGTTAGGGGCTCAAAAGTGTAACTTATTCATTTTCATAATCGCATTGGAATTTTGGCCTTACATGTAAAGGGTGTCCCAAAAGTAACAATACGCTGTTTTAGCAATGGTTGCTGTGATAACATAACGTCAAAGAACTCGGGGCAACGTGTATATTTTTTTTTTTTTTTTTTTTTAAATTGAAATCAATGTAACATATTTACAGGTTGTAGTGGCTATATTAATAACATGAGTGCCAGAGTATTTTAATAAATATGTTTTCCAATCAGTTGAGTATGAAACAATTATAAATTATATTATTACACTTCTCTACTTTGTAAAGAATCATTTTTTGTCTAAACTGGCATGTTATATAGTGGCGTTACAGCTAAAACTCATACAAATTAGCTGACATGTCGATTTGACAACTTAGCTTGTATTCACAAATGCAAATAGCGACTAGCGACTACCAGATTAACCTACTGTTTTACGACCAACCCATTTAACTATGAATGGAATAGTGGCAGGTACTATACATATTTAAATGAGTTGCCAATAAGATAGTAAGTTCATCCGGTAGCCGACAGGCGTTTGTTGCATTCGCGAATACAAGGTTAGAAAAGGTTCTCATTCGTCCACAACGATCTGACCTTACATATTAGCTTTTAATTCAAAATAGTGACTGACGTGAAGTAAAATATGACAATATCGAGAGAGAATGTTATTAAATCCGTGGTTACAACAATTGCTTTAGGAAATTTTAACTTTACGAAGTTGCTGTTGCGGATGACCACCAGTGTCATAAATGTTGCCCAAGAAACCATAACTTTAGCTGCGCTTCATAAAGTGATTTCAGACTGCAGTTCAAGTCCCATGGTAGTAGATTATTGGAAAATTTGAACATAAATGGTGCGATGTTAACAAAATTCAAGCACCGGCACCTTTTGGGACACCCTGTGACATTTGCAAAAAGTTGATCCAGTTATGACAACGGACCGATATTACAAGAACATAGCTGACCTCGTGAAACTGAATTGTCCCTCAGATTATGGATAATGACAATTCCTGCAAAGGGCTGTACATAATGCATGGTTTTGGGTCTGAAGCTGGGAATAATTTTATTCAAAAAATATTCGAGGCATTGGCTCAAAAAATTATTAAAATTTATTCTGATTTTTCTGAAAGTTTCAGGACCTGTTGATACATCCTAGGTCATTTATCACGCCAAAATTAAGGATGATTGGACAAATGGTTTTTGAGATCATGTCTAATAGTACAATAGTATAATAGGAGGGCATTTGGAATGACAAATTTCGCACCAGAAAGCAACCCACTATTTTCGACAAAATTATAACAATTAATCTAAAACCAAGGGTACACGCCTCTGTGACACGCCTCTGACGGGCGAAAGGCTTCATTATATCCCTACCGAACTTCGTTCGTTGGAATAAAAAGTGTAATTAAGCAAGATAACTTTTTGTATAAATAAGTACGGCATAATTTATTAAGTATCATAAAAACAGGTTAAAAATTGCTTGAATACAAAACATTTATGCTATTCTTATATCCATGTTAGGACAAAACACTATTAACAATTTACAAAAATATACACACAGAACTAGTCCATGTCTTCTAAATAAACATTGGTGGTCCGGACATAAATCCCTGTGGAACGCCACTTTTATAAGTAGTGGGACATATATACAACTATGTATTCATTATAATGTATGTAATGATATACGTAGGAAAGTAATTGTCCAGAGTCCTTGCACCTAGCTTGGTCTTTCCTGATACGTACACGTCAGTCTCATTCGCCTCCTTTGCCAAAGTACTTGAAGAGGATAGCGAATGCATCGCAGCAAGGATCGCACATGCAATGTACGCACAGACCGTAGATCCTCTGGCAGACGTTACAGTTGATGTCAAGGACCTTCAGGTTGGGAGTGATGCACCAAACGTGCTCAAATGCGATAATTCCAAAGGTGCATCCCCAGTACAAGGCAATGCAGATGCCGCAGAGACAGGTCAGGAGTTTGTAGCAGAGACCTTTGCCGCATTCAAAGCATTTGTAGGAGTTGGACCAGATGCAGTCCATGGAATGGGCGGCATCGGGTTCGGCAAGGCATTCATCGAAGGCAACTCCCTGAAAAAGGAGACAAATATGTATCAGAAATATGTATCAATACTATGTTTAGATATACATCAAGCATTCATGGTCTGGTGGATGGATACCATCATGTATGTCACTATAAGTAAACAAACACAATCCTCATTTTCTCAGAAGAACTCGAGTTTATCGAATCTCAATAAGTACATTCATGTAGAATAGTATTGCTAGAATTCATTTTCAATAGTAAGAATAAAGGTTCTTAAACTAGACATTAAAGTTTAACTAATGGCTATTTGAAATTTAGTACTGTAAGCCATTTCATTTCGCAACTTTTAAAGTAGTCGACGGAACTACTATAGGGAGTGACGTCGATTTGTGTTTACTCGACATATTTGTTGATCATATCAAACAAACAGAAACCAGTTAGAGATGTTCAATTGAAAGTTTAATATGACCAACATTAATGAAAGCAGACTCAAACCAATGCAAAATTTTGCAAAGTTTTACAAAGTTTTTACGTGAGCTAATAACCATTGACAAACTTTCAAAAAGTCATTAAAACATTCCAAACGTACACTCAGAACTACAGCAAATGTTATTAACGAAGTTTCCATATTTGAAGAAAGGGCAAAGAAAATATGAGATCAATGAACACAAACTAATGAAATACAAAATCAATTGAAACCAACAATCACTTCATGGCTCGTTCAATAACTATTGCGACATAATAAGCTCTGAGAGTCCATAATTACAAACCATATTTAGGGAGGGTAAATGACACGTGCATATTTTTTCCAAAAACTTCTTAACAACCAGTTTTACGAAAAACTAGAAAAATAAAATATGAGCCTGGCCATAGGATAACCGGTCTTATCACAAAAAATTGAATTGTGCTACAGAGCCAAAAATGTGCCCAAGATTAAGAGGAAAATGTCCTAAATTCAAATCCGACTTTTTGGTCTATATATGCAAGAAAATATAGTTAAGACATAAGCCATGGCTCATTTGAAAAGTCTCTTTGTGCTTTCTAAGATAAACAAAAAATCAGAATATTAATTTAAAAAATCTGTGATAAGACCCCTTTTCCTGTGGCCTGCTGGCTCATATATAGAAACCCTTAAATCTCTTAGACGATAATAAACTAATCTAAACAAAAAGCTCTAGTGTATGACTATGACCCAACCCTTCTACATAACAACCAAAAACAAGGAAAATGTCAACACCTGCCATTTGTTACGGACGCCAACCGTCGAACGCTTAACACAAACCTACGAATTCCGAACACCATCCAAAAAATTATAGACTATAACAATATGCCATTACTTCTGGTGGTGACATAGAAAATAGATGCGTCATTCAAAATTGCTTACTTGAAGATGAGCGTTGATGCCTTTAGGATCTCGATGCAATAAATCCACGACATCACTTTGTGGGATGGTTTCTGCGTCACTCATCTTAAAATTATTTTATCTATTTATTTATCTCGAAGACTTTCTGAATATCTAAACGTTTGATTCCTTTCTGGAAGACGTCTAATAATGTCTGTTTGTAGGGGGTAGTAAGGGGGAGTACCAATGTTATGTGGTAGTTATAGCGACTACAGGGAAATGGAAAGTTCTATTTATACAAGATAAATATTGTCGTTGACTAATACAAGTGAACAATGGGCTTTGGGAATGTACTCAAACCAATAGTCCAAGCACTATGGGGATAAACTAGTCTTTGCAGTTAAGAAGGATTCAAGTTAAATATTTAGGAAAACAAAAATGGAGAATGTGTGGCCCTTTAGACAGAAGCTTGGACTCATGGGTCACAGCATTTCGGACAATTTATTCCAGCAAAATAATTCCCCTCTGATAAGTGACTTTTGTGGCTAGTCTTGATTGAAATACAAGAATTTTATGTTCTTTTGTGTATCATAATTATATAGAAAGGTTTAATAGAGTTGATCGGATTATGAATGGATTATCGAATATAAGTGTTACTAATTGTATTGATTTTTAAATAAGGAATGCTGTATTTGAATGAAAATAATATCAGAGATCTGATGGTTCCGTCCAATAACTGTTCATTAACAAGGCTGGATATGGAGCATAATGTCCTATTTTTGGAACTACCTGGGCAATTTTTCTCGATTTCAATTTTTTCTTAAAGTCTTGCTCAAGGGACAAATTTTCAATATTTGACTTTGAGAAAAACTCCCAAATTTTGAATGGCCTGGATAAATAGGGCAATTAGGCTATAAATAGTGTTGTTGATTCCAAAATCCAAAACTATGAGGGGTCTCCAATTATACTTTACAAAGAAAGCCTCTTTGAGTTTCACTAAGAAAGAAAGTTAATCCAAAATCCAATTTGTTGAAAACGGGTAAATATAAAGGAACACTGTATCCACTATATTTATCGTCTACCTTTGCATCAGACCCCTGAACCACCCCCACTCCCCCACATTTCTGAGTCTAGAATCAAATATGGTTATGTTGTCATGAACCCCACATTATAAGAACGACGTACTCTTGGAATTCAAGTGTGCTGCTATAATTCCTTTTTCAATAAGCACGTTTCAAGTTCTCACGTGTAATAAATTAGCGCCATCTATTAATGACTTTTGACTTTTAGGGAATATGAGAATGTAACTATGTTCTTTTTTTCTTATGTTCTAACTGTTGAATATTATCAGTGACTACTGTACAATAAGACTTTTTGAAATTTGGATATGGTGGTATGGACTCCTTCGTTCTAACTTAAAGGTATAGGCATGGGCTTTCAATGCCCATGGTATAGGTTACTGGAGTTTTGGGAGAAAGGTGTGTTGCTATGGACCCCTTCTTCGATAGGCATGTCTCAAGTTCTTGCTTGTATAAGTGTATATAAGTATCTATCATTTACTTTGGAATATGTGTGTGTTGTTTTGGACTCCTTCGTTCAATAGGCATGGTTTAGGTATTAAAAATCTCCCAATTTCTCTAGACTTTTTGGAATATTGAAGCGTGCTCATGGACCTAATTGAGATTCTATTGTGTGTCGCTATTAATTCTTTTTTCAAATAGACAGTCTTACGTAGGTGTGATATAAGTCTCTATTTAACAGTACCACTACGAACATTTCAGAATATTAGAGCGTTGCCATGGACCCTATCTGCCAAGTTTTTCCAGTGAGATTGAGAACCATGCAACTGATTTAGAATTTCATTTAAAGTGTCAACATAAGATTCGCATTTTTATATTTGGCATTTCTACCAGGTATCTTGGTGAAAATCGATTACTTTCCCCAGCCTGACTGCAAAGTGGGTCCCATAACATTATTTCGATTACATGGATTAGAAAGTTAATATCGACAATGAAATATAATTTAAACAGCAAGTCAATACATAATTCTATATAGACACGGGGGTATTAGCGATTAGCCCTATTATATTAAATCTCCCACGTATATGTGATTCCAAGTTCACATTTAACGAAGTCCGTTGTATTATAGCAAGACACTTGTTGCTATGCCCTAAAGTTTGATTTACCCATTGCCAAAATGAAAGAGCGATTTTATTTTGCCAGGCTTTTGGCCTGGTAAAGATATATTCAAAAAATGAATTTGGGATTATGAGACGTAGGTATTCCAGCAAAGAATTGTATATTTCAAACAATCGTGTGTTGGGTTATCCTATGGTGGCTCATTTCCTTTTTGTAAGCTAATTGTATTAAATACAATTACTAATTACATAGTATTACATAGTATTACATTTGGTAATTAATCAGAAAACTCAAGTTAAAAAAGTTCAATATTTTTACCATGCACCTATAGTTACACAGCGTGTTACATTTTGTATTTAATTAGGGATTCAAAGATTATTCCACTACAGTGTGTCTCAAACAAATGTTACACTTACAAAAAGTTCAATATCTTTCATGATTTTGACGTTTCCCCTAAAATATACTTAGATACCAAAAGACCAGTCTTTCTCGAATAAATCCACACCATCAGATTGAAAATCCGTCCATGATTGACTGTACAGGACAGATTTTATAGACGCATGTGAAATTTGATTTGCGCCAATTTCTCAGTGGTTGGACATGTGGTGATCAATTCTTTTTTGGTGTGAATGCTGTGGACAGCGATATCTTGATATGATCAATGATCCAGTTGTTTCTTTCCTGGATAGAAATACAAGATTTCACTGTCAGAGTGTTCAATTTTGCTACGTATGATGGCAACAAGGATGCCTGTGGCAGATCGTTTGGTAGAACTCTTTGGAAATCAGAAGATAGCATTGAATTACCCGATGGATTGGCCACCAGGGTCATCCCACTTTGCACCCTTGGTTTTTTGAAGGGCCTCTGAAAGCACTTTACAGCATCAAAAACTGACCTAAATGAACTTCTGCAAAAAAATAATTGATGGAATCAGTGTGATATTACAATGCATGTGCGCATGGGCAAGGGTACCTCAGATTTGCTTTGGAGAACATGTTGAGGGGACCGCATGTTTATGTGGATAGACCCATTGATCATACATGTATGTAAGACAAATAGGAAAATTACAGAATGACTCAGTTAAAGGTCAAGCTTCTACTCAGAAGAAAGTTAAATGTTAAAGAAACTGTTCCTCTTGTCATTTGGTCCATCCAATCACTTAGAAGTTGGCACAAGTCAGATTTTACCATGGGACACTAAAAGCTGTCCTGTGGAGTCAATCAAGGACAGATTTTGAATCTGATTGTGTCAAATTATTCGAGAAAGATTTGTCTTTTGTAAAGTATATTTCTGGTAAAAAGTCAAAATTATGAAAGATATTGAACTTTTTGTAAGTGTAACATTTTTTTGAGACACACTGTAGTGGATATACGTCTAATTTGATATCTACCGTGTTCTTTGATAAGTTGATTATAAAATAAAAGGCATGTATTTCATTTTATTCCATTTTCCCTGAAGTATTTTTGAGGAATCTTGGGAGTACAAACAATAATACAGGGCAAAACATAAAGTTTTACACCTGTTTCATTTTGTTTGTTTTCTGTATTTTTGATTCGTCAAAACACAGTATTCTTTATTTTTACTTTTTCAATAATCACACAATTTATGATTTATATATAATTCCTTTGCCATGAAAGATATAACATATTCCTGTGAAATAACCTAGGTGAATAAATAATGTATTTGCTCTGTTGTAACAATATCCTCTTATTTGTGCCTTGTACGGTTCCACCATATAACAATGTAAAACAATTGAAGTAAATACATAGTAAAAACTACATTGACTGGCACGATTCGTTGACCTCTAAAATGCCAATGCCCAGAATAGTTGATGAAAGCATTTTTTAAACACAAATTATGTATTCTTATGCTTAGAATGTCACCAAAATGAACTATAATTTAGAGAGTACTAAATTTATTTTAATTTCATACATATTTTAGAATATAATTTGTAGATATTAATCCAATTGGATTTATGTTTTTGTTATAATTGGACTTTTCAATCGTCGACATGTGGGCATCTAAAACAATGTCATACTTTCGGGGGTGTATATTATTAATTCTTTGATTGTATATCCTTGGAAGGATGGTACTAGACATCTGTATGACAGACATATGTTACCTCACAACTTGCCGTAAACAGGACACCTTTATTGAAACATATGCCATAATTATATTAAAATAATCATGGTATAGCACTCATGAAAATATATTGTGTAATAGAGTATAAGTGAAACCTTGAGTTCGCATTCAGTGTGTAAAAATTGAGAAAATGAAGAACGTTCACATGTGAGTATCATTTTTAAATTTGACGTTTACGAGATATTGATTATATCGTGAATATGTATCATTTGATTGATATTCGATTAAAAATATATTAATTATATTTTAGTAAGATCGTTTTATGCACATTTTATGATTCGTTTTAACAGGTATGACATTTATATAGATAAATAGAATTATCATCAAAAGTGCTTCACTGACGAAAATGTGACTTATTAGGAATTATTTTGTTTGTTTGTTTGTTCATTCAACAGTCACATCGAAACAAAGGAGAATCTTTTTAGTTTACGAGTTTCCCGGGAGATTTCCAAGAATTGGACTCGAACTCAGGATATTAGTAGAAATAGTGAATATTTGTAAATAATTTTTTAATTTGGTATCATTTTTAGGGGTTCCGTATCCACGCTGCTGCTGGTTTTAGCTATTTCAATCTCATTATCAACCTCTTCGAGATTGAAGAGAGACGTAGGTAAGAACTCATTTTTCAAACATTTTAATTACCCCAATGCAACATTACATCTTGTGCAGGTGGTGCATGGAGTAGTATTCAATTACAAGTCAAATCGAGGCGGAAAATATACCAAACTATATCAATAAAGAAAAATACAGTGTTAGTATATAAGGCTCCCATAATTATTTTTTTCTAAACAAGCCTGGTGTAAACAATTTACTAGTTCCTAAACTCAAAAGGATAATTGTTCTCTCGTTATACAGGGTGGGCCAAAAATCGCCACTTTTTTCAAAATGCTATGACTTTTTTAATTTTTGATGCAAAATCATAATTTGCTTGGCAAATGAAACTTGAGGTTGTTACCTAGCCATGGATCATGAATTATTACACTTTTACTTGAATAAAATATGTCACCGGCGTCTCACTTAAACACGTGGTGCGCCATGAGAAATAAGCATAATTTGCAAAATGTACTGAACTGATACGGCCTGATGACCGCCAAGCTTATAGCCCTAATACAAACCCCAGTGGGTATAGGGTATTTGAAGGTCTCCAGGAGATGGTATGAAGGCACCCAATCTAAAAAATTGCTCAACTAAAGCTGGCAATTAAGACATGTTGAAAAAAATTTTAGCTAACATTTCATTGATACTGCTATATCAGCAAGGCGACTAAAACTAAAATCTATCATCAAATAGGGTGGCGGACCAATTGACCGAACTCCTCTTTTAGATCAAATATAATCCCAGTTGAAGGACTTGTTACATTATATTATTACTAAGAACCCTTTGAACTATACAACTGCAAAATTTGGGGTATGTACGTTGGAAAATAAAAAAGTTACAGTGTCTTGAAAAAAGTGGCCCTTGAGTATAAACAAAAAGTTGTAACTGGGTCACAATGGGACGATTTACTCAGGATTCATCATTAAATAGAGTCAGGACTTCAAGTAAAATATGAGTATTTACAATTGTAGATGGATTCTGCAGAGGTAAAGCTGACCACAGCATTAACGCCGATCCTACTAGTTGCTACCATTATATCTATTGCACTGGTGGGTACCAGTTCAGAGCGATATGCCAGGCAGGACTTGTGTTTAACCCTATAATAAATAGCTGCGACTATGGGGAGTGTAACACTGCTCAAGCACCAGAATGTAAGTGTCATTTTTGATAGTGCATATGTCTGGGAAAATACTCCGAAAGTTGATATCACCTATGAAAGTATATCAAAACTCATAAGACAAAGCAAAAAACATCATCCCTAACTTATGTTGAACTAAAAAGAGTATTTTTCTGAAATATATTTAGAATATAAAGGCGAGACGAAGATTACAGTATTGGTACAGACTAGGTTTTTGCAATCATTTTGCGATATTATGTCATATCATTGTTTCTGAATAAAACGATTTAGACTTAAATTTTATTTATAGCCACCAATGAGGTGTATGAAGATAATGGCCATAGAGAAAAGAATCGGGAAGAGAAGCGATCAACGGCAAATCTTCACGTTGCGCCAACCGAATACGTTGCACCAACTGAGTATGTTGCACCAACTGAATACGTTGCACCAGTCACACAATACAGAGAACCATCAACGGAATCATTCGGTAGGGACATTAATGCACCGAGAGGCATTGTCAGACAACTAGTTTTAATAAGCGAATATTTGCACGTATACTAGCATCAGTTATATTTAACATTCCTTAAATACCTAATTATTAGTCTGTCATATCAAGGACGTCCTTGGTCAAATGTAATGTTTTATTATGTAATAAGAAATTGAGTTCATATTTTTTGAGCAACATTACGACTTAAGTTCAAGAATCCGCACCTGTTAAAAGATTTTCGGTGTATGTTATGTTTTAATGAATCTAATGTAATTCATCTCTTAATGAACAGTGTAGAAATGAAGAAAACGCAAGCTGTTACCAAGCTGCTATTAGCGGCCACGAGAGAGGAATACTAATTGGTCTTCCTAATAATGGATCATGACATTATAGGTCGAAGTGCAATCAACGCGAGAGTCATGTCACATTGCCACCTGTAGAACACACCTCCCCTTTAATTAATTGAAAAAATATGCAGTCTAATTAAAATTCATTTTGTGTTACAGGTAACCCTGATCTGACGATATCTGAAAGGTTTTGTTTTGGAAAGAAGTTCTTTGTTTCCTACCCTCATCCAAAATACTGTCGATTCTACGTGATTTGTTTCTCCAAATATTATTATGATATTCTCAAATGTCCCTCACACACAAGTTTCGATGCCAAACGTAATTTTTGCAAACGTGGTAATTGTACGAATCCGTCCAAGTCTCGCAAAACATATCAAAAGTACAATCAAAAATACACACATCATACTCATGCCTCATATGTCAATCCAGAAGATATGTACAAAACATTGCTCAACCCTAGAGAACGTGTCCAAGAGGCCAAGCCAACTACCCAAAGTATGCACTATTCGCCAAAATCATTTACAAAATTAGTCAAACAAACAATTACTACAGGTGTTGTGGAAACCCACCATACAAAGCATACCAAAATCCAAAATCCATCCAAAATTGAAGTGGGCACAGCTGAGTATACTCGGAAAAAAGATTATGTGGAGGAGATAGGCATCCGCACCAGCAAATACCAAAAGATACCAAGAGGTACAAATGAGTATAGTAAACGTCAGAATTCTCATCATAATTTTATGTCCTAATAATTGATCGGCAGATGTCTTAGATTGGACAATCGACAACGACCGGAACAAACATATGTTTTGTTTTTTAAGGTCGTGTGTCAAACTCAAGACACTGACACTTTTTGAAACATATCGAGGTCACATGACCGTCATACAGATCTATAATACATGTTTGCTGTCAGGCTGTCACGTCATCAAGACATTCACTTAGTTTTAAGACATATTAGAAATGGTTTTAAGTTACCAATATGCTTATTCCAGCCATTTTTGATTCTGTGAAGGCTGACGTTTGCCTAAACAAGGATGACAGGGGATATGCCCATCCTCTCAATTGTCAATACTACATCAAATGTGACCATGGGACTGCCTTCATTAAGGCGTGTCCATCTGGGCTTGTCTTCAAGGACGGATACCAGACGTGTATAAAAGGCTCCTGTAAAGGTATCCACTATGTACACACCATCATTGATTTTGATATGGGTGGAGAAGAGTTGATGTCGGGGTTTTCACATTGTAGTTATGTTTATTTTCCCGAAATTGGATCTTGCATGGAATTTGTTTGTCACAGTTTCTCAGATGTTCACAAATGGTGTTAAGGTGTTCAGCACAAGTTTTGATTAATGTTATTTTACTTTATTTTTTCAAGTCCTTCAATTTTATTTTCATAACATCCAGTGTTTATGTTTCACAGCCTTTCCCAAAACAGCACGACCTTTATTTTTTATTCATTTTTATTTATTATTTATATTTAGAAGCACTTCACGTAGCATCTCTTACAGTATTAATATTAATAGTTATTTCTTCTTCTGTAGGTGGTGGGTCCTTCTCCAAATCATAAGTAAGAGCACCAGTTGCGGTATTTTATTTTGCATCATCCAGTATAGAATTTTTTGCATTAGAACCTACAATGGTAATGAGTTTGCACATGACATCACCTCCAATAATCTTCACGAGAAAATGCTGTAACATTTTATGCTGATATACACGCCTATAAAGTTTGTCAATCTGAACCCCCATTTGATAGCATGTTACATCCCATTTTTGTTTTAATCTTAACCACCAGCTACCGTTGGTCGAATATATGACAAATTGGACCGAGCCATTTTAAAATAATTTACTTTCACTGGTTCATGTACTTCAGGTTTTCACTAGTTTTCTCGATGTTTATATGGCGAAGACGTGATCATATGGGATTTCCTGTTGCCAAACTTCTAGGGGGTGTATGCCTATATTTACGATCTATTGAATCTTATTGCAATCATATTTCTGGGATAACCCCTCTTGATAACCTTATACAAGCAGAATGTTATGTACAAGCAGAATGCAGCAAACTGCCATATTTCATTATTGAACTATGTTTCTCTTAAGTTGTCCTTTCACTCTGTTTTAGATGATTATTGCAAGTTCAGATCGGATGGTACACACCATGACCCATATGATTGCCATAACTACATCTACTGTGCCAATGGCGTTCCCTACAAACAGAAGTGTCCTGGATCCCTCGTCTACAACCATGACCTAGGTGGTTGCGACTTTGGCTCCTGTCCCCAGAACGCTCAAGGTATGAAGTTCCAGTTTCTAATTGATAAGCAGGCCCGTAGCCATGCAGGATTTGCCAAGGGGGGGTTCAGTTTCAAAAATTTCCAGGGGGGGTTCACATTTGACAATTTTGGCCCAAATATGGCTAAAATCACTTGAGAAGTGCTCAAAATGGTGAAAACTACTTGATTTTGAAAGAATTTTTGCCCCCCGCCCCCCTGGCTACGGGCCTGTTAGGAAACTTTTGTTTAAGTCGTGAAACAAATTTACGTCAACCAATATGTATTCTGTCTTAGGTTCAAGTTAATTCTAATCAACGGAGCTTTTATGATATTCTTCACGTATTTTTAACAATAATCCCATTTAATAAAGTTATTTGTTCAATTTTCCGGGAGATTGCCATTTCATCCAGGCAAATCAATATTTCTAAGAAAACGTTTTTCAACGTTAACATTTCTTGTAAAGTTTGAAAAAATGTTCTGCTTTAGGATATGTACCCAAAAAAGCACGTGAAGAAAACAATCACGTTGTGCCAACAAATTACGTCGAGACTACTGTTGAGGAGACTTACCAGGCAACCCATTCTTCATCAGGTACGCGAAATTCAAGATTATTTTCCGACCAAGGCTGAACAATCTGTACACTCCCCTTCATAAGTTTGGCAACTGGAAAATTTGAATCACAATTTTGTTCCTTAATTATAATTGTCCGGAATCTATGACAAATTCAATGAACTATTTTAATGGTATAAACAGGCTTTTATAAGTGATTTAAAAGGAGACCTCCGACTGCCAAACTTATGGAGAGGAGTATATATGTCAGTTTGTTCGTTCTTTCCCCTACATCGTAATGAATCCAGGACATTTTATGAAATAAATCACCCCTATCATTACGAGAATTTACGTACATATGAGAATGTATTTAGAGAGGGAGGTTTTACAAACGAGCAAATTAAGTGAAACGATTTTCAACTGTTCAAAATTCTGACATGTTTATGAAAACAACAGCACTTTTGATTGATGTCTAACCTGACTATTTTCTGGGTAATACAGATAATGATGACATGAAATCTAAAATTGAGGAGATGCTGCCATCCGTCATGAACAAAGCCATGGAATCTCTCATTACCAAGATGGACGACGAGAAAACTGCTTCTCGATCTGTAGGTAAGTTGGGTTCTTAATTTTTCTTCAGACTCGGTTCAAAACCTACGGAAACTTGTATTAAATTGTACTTAGTCTTCTTCCAAACAACTGGGCATTTTATTTACTTCTGATTTTAAACAGTACATCGACTCCTTAATATCTAATATTCGATTTGTTCCCTAGCTCTATCAAAGAGAAATAATTTTGATATAGCAGAAGAATAAGAAAATATGAGCCAGATGGATGGATGGAAGCTTGTAGTAAATTAACTATTGAAGAATTTTTCTCATCGTTCAGTCCAATTATGATTTGGTATTTATTAATTATGTTATAGGAAACTCCAATAGACCATTCAAGAAGGTCCAGCGTTTCCTCGTTGCCAGGCCCATGGCCAAGAAACTGTCTCAGTGCGCCCATGTACTCTGCAACGCGTCCACGGTGCTCATGGATTAGTAAGTCGACTGATTTAAAAAAACTGTGACATCTTTGCATTATTTGAACCATGACCTCTCATGCCACGATCATTTGTATGAGTTTCGTCTCAGCTCCTTTTTTCTAATTTGAAATCGTACAACACGATGTCATGCCCACATGTGTGTGTGCCTATTGATATAGGCTATATGACTTTACCAATAGGTAAAATGTAAAATGATGTTGCTCCTTAAAGGGAAATAAAAAATAAGATGATCACAATCACTATTTTCACATTTGTCATCATGATAAACCATGACATCTCATTTTTTCTCAGCCCTGAGATACCATGATATAATGAGCTTGGTTTGGCGATCCAGGAGAACCCAAAATTGACGATTTTTGAGATCTTTCATCCCAGCTCATATTACATCTAAGTGGGGTCATAAAACTTGTGTACACGTGCCTGTTCTAATATCTGCTGTTAAATACAATGCCTATTATGTAATGTTTTGGCATTAAGGTAAATGATTACTATCACACTTATTGACAGTTACAACTCTTCCTATATTCATATATTTTTAGCTTCAAACTGGACAAAGTCACAGCGCTTAATATCTTCTCTGACATCCACTCTCCCATTCCTGCAAGTTCACATCTGCTAAAGCCTGACGACGCATACCCTGATCCCGACCCCAACACCTGCCCCTGGCCTAGATATGATTGCGGAACAGGCCTTGAGCTTTACAGATCATACACTGGAGCATGTAACAACATTTATAACCCACTCTGGGGACGATCTTTCACTCCACTCAAGAGATACATTGCCCCTGATTATGCCGATGGTAAGTATGTGGTAACACAGAACACTATTACCGATTTCGGTAATTCCATCATGTTTTAGGCTGAGCCATAAAGAAGATGTAAACTGGTACTGTGTATTCTTCCAAATTGAAAAATAGTGTTGCATCACACATATCTTTCTGCTTGACTGTGGTGTATAATCTTCGCCACCTATTTTGAGTGAGTGATGATTATTCAAAGGGACACTTCCCCTCTTCATTCTCATCCGAGAACACAATAGGCAATACACCCTACAATAGAATTTTGATATCATACGTTCCAGGTATTGAACTTCTACGTCAAGCCAAACATGGTGGCAGCCTCCCATCAGCTAGACTGGTAAGCAGTGTGATCCATGAGGACGGCCAACCCGCAGACCATATTCACACATTGATGGTGATGCAATGGGGACAGTTCCTCGATCACGATCTCTCCCATACGGCTGTAGCTAAGATATCAAAGGATGGTAGTGGTGAGTGTGTGATGTGAATTGAACATGAACAACTCAACCCCAAAAGACCATTACGAGAAAAAAAAGAAATATTTCATGAAACAATCATGGTCTTACAATATATGCCTGGAAATTGAATAAGTAAACATTTTACAGTTTTTTATGTCACCACCAGAAGTTATATTAGATCCAACTTTTTGTGGACGGTGTTCTGTGGTTAGTGTTCGGCGGTCGGCACCTGTAACAAATGGCTAGTGGTAACATTTTGCCTTGCATTACATTGGGATAGAGGAATGCCTATTAGTATATATGGTATAAATAACTCTTACATTCACTATCTTACAGTTGATGAGACTATGGATATTGAATGTGGTGACGATGGATGCGATGACTCAATTAAAGAATGTGTTCCCATTAAGATTCCTGCTGGAGATAAAGACTTCGGACCTAAGAAATGTCTCGAATTTGTTAGATCCCAGGAGGTCCCAAACTCAAAATGCACAATTGGTAAGTTAGTTAATTATTTTTGGACGAATTGGAATTGAATAGAAAGGCAATTATTAAAAACACAAATACCTGCCTCTTAAAGAAGCACCCTCCCCATAGCTTTAATCATGGGCTTCCTAGAGACATATACACAAGAACAAATAAAAACGAGCACTTGGACACACAAAGCAGGAAATCCATTTTGATTTGCATGTCGGGCAAAACAATGACTATCCTAAATACTTATTTATTCCTAAACTAGGACTTTTGATACTACAAATGGTTTTCAAAACGTCACCAAATTGACAGTATTGAGTCAGAGTGCATATTTGTTTTAATTCATTTTATTCATTTACCCCAAATTGTCAATGGGTTTCTCTTCCTGTCTAGCAGTCGGCATTCTTCAACAATTACACGTACAATTACGCATACAGTTACGCATACAATCAGAGATAGACGAAAGAAAGCATTGGGGAAAATGTTCATTGCAAAAAAAATTATACATAAATTTTATTTTGCGTTGTGTTTGTTTTTGCCAGGACCACGAGAGCAAGTAAACCAAATTACATCCTACATTGACGCATCAAACGTGTATGGATCTTCTGAAGAAGAGGCAAAGGTTTTGAGAGACTTGATCTCAAGTAAGTTACACCCCTTAAAGGGATATTCCTTGTTAGCCCAATTCTTTCTTGATATTGTAGCTCCATTTTATTTTGCCCGTATTCAGCAAAACATGGGGAATTGTTTTAATATGGTCAAAATTGATCATTTAAAATGCAGTTAAAGCTGTCATATATAGAGAGAATGGGCTGGCAAGAAGTGTTCCTTTAATTACCATTAATACATCAATAATACGTGTAAGCTATTTCTATATAGTTCAGATAATGTACTGGTATGTTTTATGGATATTGTGGATTGTTTCCCTATGACTGGTTATACTGTTAACTGTTTCTTTTTTCTGAGCTTTGGCCAATCGTATATGTAGATTGAGACCATAACACTAACGACTTTGATATTGTAGGAAATGGACGCCTAAATGTTACTGATCATCCTAACTCGAGATCCCTCAAATACCTCCTTCCACAGACGGATGAGGAAAAGGAATGTGAAGAAGAAGGTCAGGGCTTTAAATGCTTCATGGCTGGGGATGTAAGAGTGAATGAACACTCTGGTTTGACAGCCATGCACACAATCTGGTTGAGGCAGCACAACAGAATCTCCGAAGCACTATACAAGCTCAATCCGCACTGGTCTAGCGACAAGGTGTACCAAGAAGCGAGAAAGATTGTCGGTGCTATGATGCAACATATTACGTACAAGGAATGGCTTCCGGTTGTTCTTGGCAAACATGAAATGAGAAAATATTCATTAGAACTCCTGAAATCAGGATATTCTCGTGAGTAGCCTATGCTAATATCACCTATACCTATTTTCTTTTATTGTCAAGTTCGTTGCTTTTCGTCTTTTAAATATCATATGCTGCTTCTTTTTCTCAATTTGGTGTGTAATTTCATCCTGCTCTTAATCTTAGATATTTTCCGGTTTTTCATTATTTCCCTTAATATTTCAAACTAGTCCAAACCAGTTCCAAAATAAAGAAATGAGTTGAAAAGGAATAAATGCTGAACCCCTATAAATTTTACTGACATGTTACCCAATAACTTACCAGTTAATGAGAATATAACTGGGGACAAAAGCTAACACGTATAATATGACACAATGAAGGTAAATATAAACATATCGAACTTGAAATTGCAGATTATGACAGCAGAGTGAACCCAAGTGTTACTAATGAATTCGCCACTGCCGCAATGAGGTTTGGTCACAGTATGATCTTCAAGAAGATTAGCGCCGGAGAAGCTGATAAGGACCTGAGCGAGGTATGAAATGAACCTTTTGTTCGAAAGGATGATTGCTTACAAATATTCCAGATACTTGGGGGTTGTATTATGAATTATGCTATAATGTAAAGGCATGTTTTTTATCACAGTACTGTTTTGTTGATAATATCGTACAGTGGAACACCGCTGTAAGTGGAACACTTTCCAGAGTCCCAAGACCAACTGACTTAATGTTGAAATAAATCTCAATATGTGGAACACCTTCCAAGTGGAACACTTTTAGAGGTACCAAAGCTGTTCCACTCAGACATGTTCTATTGTACTTTGTAACGTTGTGCGCTAGAAAGCATACACAGTAAAGTCAGAAAGGAAGAACCTAGAAGATGTAAATCTACCAAATCAATAGGAGACTGTTGCAAAAAACATTTCTATATTTTATTTCTACGCCTCATTTTAGCTCTTCTTCCGTCCCCGCAACATTTACAACAAAGCTGACGGTGGAGTGGATGGCTTCATACAAGGTCTCTGCGATCAAAACATGGAGAAGCAAGATAGGTTCTTGACTAAACAGGTCACAAAACATTTGTTCGCCGAACACCCACCTCATGGTTTGGGTACAGATCTTGCCTCACTTAATATACAAAGAGGCAGAGAGCATGGTCTACCAGGTAAAAACTGCATTGCACATGCTTGTTGATAGTCAAATACATAAACCATGATAAAAGGCACACACATTTTGCGATAAGAAGAACAAGTGCTGCCATCTATTTAACGAATTCCAATATATCACAATTTATCTTATTTAAGCTACGTTCACACCAACGGCGAATGACACGCTTTAAATCGGCGAGCAAAGCGTCATTTTTGTCATTTTTGTACATACCAACGGCGCTTTGATGGCGCTTTAAAGCGGCTTGTAAAGCGGCACCAAAGCGTAACAAAGCTTGATTAAAGCGTCGGGGTCGTAATAGGTCGTAGAAAAGCTCGGAGTAAAGCGGGATATTCGGCAATATAATATACGAGCAGATAAATTGTGATATATTGATTTGGAAATTCTCAGAACCTTTTAATTCAATACTTTGAACTAATTTAATTTAGGTTACAATGCATGGAGACAATTCTGTGGATTACCATATGCCTACTCATTCGAACAGCTTCGGGACACAATCAAAGACGAAGAAGTCGTGAGGAAATTATCCCAAGTCTACAAGTAAGTATCAGAGAAAACATTGATGTTAACACAGACATGTACGCATGAAGATAAATGAATAGACACAATAACTGGATACAATTACCCAGATGCGACTAGGTATGTAGTTATCATGTTCAACACAAGGTGACTGATTCGAGATTGATAACATGGCAAAAAAATCCCTTTAGCCTGAATTAAAGGTCACATGGTTCAACCATGGGCTTTGAACTAGATATCTAATTGAAAGCCCGTGGTTCAACAAAGACCGCATAAAAGATAAGAACGTGGATATCATGCGACATATTTACTTCTGTAAAGAAGAAAATAAAATTTCCAAAATTCCCACTACATTCTGCAAACTTGGGCCATTTTACAAGTGTTTTCTTCGAATGATATTACAGGCACGTCGACGATATCGACCTTTTCCCAGGCGGTATGGCAGAAACACCAGCTAATGGTGCGATGGTTGGTCCAGTTTTCTCTTGCATTCTAGCCAAACAGTTCAGCGATCTCAAACGTGGAGATAGATTCTGGTATGAAAACAGCGGACCTCAAGCCTTCTCTACAGGTAGGTTGGACGCATGATCTAACTTTATAATGGTTTATTTGTGATCATTTAAATTCTTTCGCACGGTACATTTAAGCTCGAAGTAAGTCTAAGTAGTTGAAGGCAGAGAGACGTGATGAGTATCAGAATGGTGAATTGTGGACTTTCAGAATAAATGCATTTAATTTTTTTATTCCTTTAGCCCAGCTGGATGCAATTAGAAAAGTGCGTCTTTCTAAGGTGATTTGTGAAAATGGGGACAACATCAACACTATTCAGCCATACACAATGGAGGTCCCATTCAGGGAGGCATACCCGACCAACGAGTAAGCATGTGTTAATTAAGTAATGAGTTGAAATCATTGCAATTTGCAACACCCGTTTTTTGTATTGTATCTTTTTCCTCCAATACTGTGCGTGTAGAGAACAATTTTCTCAAAACGATAGACACATAGCCAAATGTTACAATTATACTAATAGACACATGAACCTTCAACCCTTGCTTAACAGTCAAAACGATAGACACATATTCATTACTCAACAATTATACCAGTAGACACTTAAACCTATAACTGTTGCTTAACAGTCAAAATGATAGACACATAAACCAACTAAATTGTTACTCAACAATCATACCAATAGACACATAAAGCTACAACTCTTGCTTAAAATAGACACATAAACCAATTGTTTCTCAACATTTCTATCACATAAACTCATTATTGTTGCAGTCACGGCACAGCATCTCGGTACAACTTGGACTACAACCAGTTCAATACCCTTTGGCAGAAGAACTACAACATTAGAGAAAGGTGCAGAGATGTAGGGGGTGATATAGATCTCAGAGCGTGGAAGCAGCCTTATTAATAGAATTATTGATAAAGTTATTATTAGTCAAAGGTAACAGCAAATAATTTTTTTTCTTTGATCGATCTAAAGTAATTCAGTTAAATGAAGGAAATTATGATACCCAGGGAATAGTGGTAAACTTTTTAGCGTATAAAGCCCTAACTGGCCCTGGTTCTGACTGTGTAAATTAACTTAAAAGGAAATGGGCTATCGGCATAATAACAAGGGAATAGAGAGTCGCAGGCTATACACGTATGTGGGTAGGTTGAATTGAACTGTTTCAAAATAGTTTGACTAACAAATAAACCTTCATTTCAATGATATTACATTATTTTGATGCATTCTATTTTCAGATTCACTAGCCAAAACTTACAGGTCAAAGGTCGACAACATCTCCGTCATCATCATATCAATTTATCATTTACTATTTAAGAGTGTGTGCTTAAGTTGTTTCGATATGAGAAATATATTTGAAACAATACCAGCAGGCGGAGGCAATGTTAGGTTTGTCAAACTCCAATGAAATCTCTACGCAAGATATTTTACAAGAGCATTGAACAAAGTTCCAACACCGCGAAATGCTGATTTGCTAGATATACGGTCCCAGCAGATGCGATACATGGAGAGCTTGAAATGACTGTTCCAGAACACGTGATCATTGGATCTATTTGAGAACATTGAAACTAGATCGTAACTGAACAACTACATGCCAAAGACTATATTTAGTCACAGTCTGGTACATAGTTAAAATTATATTTGACGACTTGACATTGCAAAACTGAAAAGAAGCGTCGCATTTCTTGAGGCCATGCGTTGAACTGGTACCCTGCGCGCAGAGTCTAGTTAAACTACAGACGACGAAGCTCTCTTCTAAGAAGTGAAGTCAAACGAATGCAAAGGGTATTGAACTGGTAGCTTCATATTATTTGATGAGTCTGACCTGCCAAAATGTATCTTAAATTGAAACAACTTTTTGTCTTTGGTAATTTTCAATCCCACACTTATTCTTACGACTTGGATTTTATTGTCAATATTATGTAGGAATCTCATTGTAAATAAACTAGTGAATTTGTTGCATCGCATTTATTATATACAACATCTGGCCAGTGTACTATAATCAATTCAAATCATTTATAAATATTTTCATGAAATTCTATAATTTAATTAATAAGATATAACAACTGTTCTGTACAATTGTTGAAATTTAAAATCATCTTCTTATTAGGCCTATAGAATAAAGACAAACACAAATAAAAGGGAATTATTACATATCAATGTCTCGTTTTAGGGAATACATCTTACATTTTAATCATATCTTCATATCATATCATATCATATTTTAATCATATCATATACGGTCGGCGTACACTCCCCTTTAAACGTTTGGGAACACTAACTTCTATATCGGACAACGTGTATAAATTGAACGAAAATATTTAAGTTGTAATTTTCTAAAGCTAAGTTCACACCAACGGCGCTTTGATAGCGCTTTAAAGCGCCGTGCAAAGCCGCTTTGCACGCCACTTTACAGCGTCAACAAAGCGCCGTTGGTGTGAACTTAGCTCAATCTAAGGAAATCAATTAAAATCAAAATAAACAGGCTATTCAATTATTGTAGTCGTTGCCTAACTTTTGGAGGGGAGTGTACTTCATACTTACCAAATCATTTATTTGGCCGTGGTCATGCATCGATAGTTCATGATCATCCCCCACTGTCAATTCTTTTCTATATGGTTTTTAAGCTAAGTTCACACCAACTGCGCTTTGATGGCGCTTTAATGCGACGTGCAAAGCCGCTTCACACGCCGCATTAAAGCGCCGTTGGTGTGAACTTAGCTTTAGTTTGACTACAGCTAAGTTCACACCAACGGCGCTTTGATGGCGCTTAAATGCGGCGTGCAAAGCGGCTTTGCACGTCGCATTAAAGCGCCATCTTGGAGAATCGTGTTGTCTTCATCACCCCATGTCTGGTTGAATGCACTTTTTGTAACGCGAGCCGAACGAACAAAGCAGTTCTTGTAACGCATTGTTTGATGGGCTCGGGTGAATTTCAGTGCTTTACGCCATTACTCGGCGTTCTTGGTGTCGTCCAATCTGGGTTTCTTTATCCAGGGCTATTGTAAAATTCAGTAAATCACTATATTCAATATTTGAGCCAACTCATTATGTTTGTACCCAGCGCTGCATAAAAGGGAAAATGATCATATACCAAAGTGAAGAAGGAATTTAATCCAAAATTCAAAATTTGAACAGATCGCCCTGAATATAGACACAATGCAATCATTACCTGAATTGACTTACCTTGCTTTTGTTATGTCCATTAAAAAGTTTAATTCTTGTGGCCAATCCATAATGCCAGTTTTGGCAATTTGTGGCTCAAACGTAACTAAAAATGTTTATACCATAAAGTTCATTCTTACAAGAATCTCGAAATAGTACCACATCGATCGTCTATGAGGTATGATTCTAAACGTGGCAGTCGAGCATAGGACAGGGCTAAGAATAGTTGGTGGGAACTAGAACATCTGAAATTGTTAATATTGGGTTAACATTTATATATCTTATCAACGTCACACCTTTAGAGAGGTCACAGTCACGAAGTTGGAGACATTCGGGTTAGGAGAAATAGACATTACTATTACTATAGGCCAGACACCTTAAAACCATTTAGGATTCTAAATAAAGTAGAACGATGAGAACAAAAATTATTTTAATAGGCCTATTTTGATAGTTTTTTCGGACTTCATTCTTAACTTGTCCATGAACGCGGTGATTATTGTAATTTTCATAAAAACGATTCCTTCTCATTTAGAGATAAAATCTGGTCATACCATACTAACCTTGGTTTCCACCGTTTTGTAAATATTCGTATTTATCTTCTTGAACCAAACATTCAGAATTTAATCATTACTACAACTAGAGCAGGTTGTGCAGTGCAGATATCCTTAAATGTTGAAACCTCTCAGTGTCTCTCTCTAAATGTCCCCTCCGAATATTTTCTCCGGAGCAAAACGAGCATGCCCGATTTGTCCCCCGTCCGTCCTCCCATACTGAATATGATATAATGCCAAGGATGTCAACGTATGGAGTTTTATAGCTATCTTCATAAAGACGAGAACCCATGCACCTGTCCGTATACAAGACCGTTTAACACTATCCCATGTGTAGATAAGGTCTTGGTGGCTGAGAGAGGGACATATTGTGAAAACTTAGCAGCTGACGAATAAATACAAACTTGCCAAGTGCTATCTTATCGAAAGACGCTTCCAACGATACGATGAGTAAATAAAGTCACACGTCGAGACTTATAGATTTGATCGTAAATATTAAATCTAGATCTCTCATTCCATCATAGATTTTACAACATTGTTCATGATATGCTCATATTACTTTCATGCAAATTGGGTGCGAGTAAGCATGCCCATAAAAACTTGTCCATTACTTTTGAATCACCCCTCGTATACGAGGCAATTATGGAAATGTTTTTGTATGAACACTACTTTTGGTTTTATTTGGTCATCCTTCATGGATTCATTTATTTCTCAATTCTGCAGAATTAGGAGAAATACTCTTAAACCAAGGATGTGGTTTGGTAACAGTACAAATGCAATAGGGAACATGGGGCAAAGCGGCCCAAAACATTTAATTTTAAGTTGTTCTGTACGGGGTATTTTCGTATCTGTCAATCATCGCGCACTTTGATGTTCCACTTTATTAATGGTTTGTGGTTTACATTTTTCGAGTGTTTTATACTTTCCTAGGACTATCTTCTGTGATTTTTCAATGGTCAAAAATATTGTCGAGAGTGGGGCAAAACGGCCCATGGGTGGGGCAAAACGGCCAACCCTCTGTTACATGGGTTTTGAAACCAAAATTAATCAATTACAAGACTCGTCCACAAACATCTTATCTCAGACGTTCAAACCTTTGACAGATAAAGTATTCTTAACCCCTACCATTATTCTAGTCATTCGATATTTGTCGGAAGGAAATAAGGCACAAGCCAGATGTTAAAATTGTTACATTTGAAAACCAATTGTTCTTGCACAATAAGATTTTTGTATGTAATAACATGTGTGGGCCGTTTTGCCCCAAAGACATGTGAATTTTCAAATAGACGTCATTTTAATTTGCCTAATATTTGAAGCTCGAAATTTTTACAAATAAAGAATAAATGTGCACACTCTATGTAAAATGTTAAATCAAAACGATATTCCATTGTTGCCGGATTTTTTAGAGATTCTCGTGAGAGGGGTAATTTCCAAAAAGAGGGTGAAAAGTAGAATTACCTCTTACGTAAAGCGAGACGCTGCTTGGTTAAAAATGGACGGTCGAGAAGGTGGCAGATATTTCAAAATTCGATTTTGTGACTTTTGAAGAACCATCTTTTTATAGTTCAAAAGATATTTCGATGGGCCACTTTGCCCCAGAGGGCCGTTTTGCCCCATGTTCCCCTAGTCTTATGTTTTAGATAAGAGATAAAACGTTTTCCAATTTGTGAAAGAATGCTGACATTTTGACGAAATTAATTGGACCCGAAAGGAGAAGGAAAAGTATCAGAAAGTAACGGATTTTGGACAGTCATACATTGGGTTTTGGCAATTTTCTGAGGATTTTAAAAAGCTGCACATGTTAGGCCATTGCATTACCTCGAGGAAAAGCACTCATAGAGGGGATAAAATAATTTCGACTTTGAGACAGAGAAGATGCAAATAACCCACTACATGTTTTTTTGTTGCATCAATATGTTGCGTTTTGACACCCCTTTAAATAAAGCGGAAAACAATATTTCCCATATATTATTTTCCCATAGGTAAACTCATGCGATTCATTGCTTTTCGCTTAATGTTGGTCACGCATAATGGATATCTTTGAAACCCCTAAAGGAATTACTCTATTCATTAAAGGGGTATACATTACGATAGCACTAGAAATGTGAAACTAAAATTAAACAATATAATGTCAATATATCTTATCAAATTCTTAATGGAGTAAGTTTGAATACAACAAAGATGATTCCATGGCAAATGATCATTTGTGGACGTTTATTTCTTTTTTAATTTTGACCTTACTGCAACTTGAATGTAGGCAATTAGTTTTAAGAGTAATGAATAAATGGTAAATTATTGGGAGAAAATAAGAAAAATTGAAAAATTGACCTTTTACCTCTATTGCCTATTTTTCTACCATCTATAAGCCTACTGTTTGAGTATATCATTTCTGTTATCAGATACAATAGAATAATTAGAAAGTTTAAGATAAACAGCCGTTGGTCTTAGAAAATCAGCTGCTGTTTTCACAATAAATGTACATGTATGCACAATACAATAATATCAGTAAATGACTTTCCAACTTGTTATAAAATTCCCCAAAAGGCTCCACTTTGCCCCACCAAAAAATGACACAACCCTTTTGTTTCCTCTTAATTCAAATGAGCACATTAATCTCTGAGTAAGCTACAGGAAAATGTAAAGTACGTGTATGTCGTAAATAGACCTCTAAGTCTTTTAATTCACTTTCTAGGTTGGCTTTTAAACGCCGACCGCCGAAGACGGTCCACATAGTCGGAGACTATATCATTGTACCAACACTTCTAGCGTGACATAAAAATGTAACATTCGTTAGAGAATCTAATTTTTCACAAGCGTCGACGGCAAATGCCAAAAACTGTCACAGAATCTGGGATCTATAACTTCTAAATAATGACATGACATGAATTGAATTGAAAACCTGCAACTTAATACACAAAGTACAGAACAAGTTATTTGTATAAAAATATGTTTATTTCTCAAGTTTGGTCCAATGATTTACTGAGTTTCATTATACTAAACACTGAACTAACTAGTGTCATTATACAAATAGATTTAATGTAATCCAAGGGACCTCCAGACATTCATCTATATCCAGTTATTGGATATAATTTTCTTCACTAAAATGGTACAATGTCAGTTAATAAATGGTGGCACTTCAAACAATAAACTCTAAGAATATCTCATACATGCTATATATACAATGTTTCACTGCTGGAATTATCCTTATTCGTTTTACTGATGAAAAAGAATAAAACACTTTAAAACATTGTCACTTCAGATCAAACATATTCAACATTTTTTATCTACTATTTCTTTTATAATATGTCCTTCAGTTTTTATCATCCATTTTGTGTTATATGATCGGACTGCACCTTGGCAACCTTTCTGTATTCTTTAGCATATGTGGCGGGGCACTGCATCTCATTCCAACTGATGGGTACCATGGTAGCACCTGGAAAACACAACAAACTACAGTAAAGCCAGGTGTCTAATTTTAATCCAACTTGTATTTGCCAAAAGTGTTCATATTGGCACTTGTTCACAATTTTAGGTATTTCATCATGGAAGTCTATGGCAAGTCCAAAAAAGTGTTTACATCAAGAGATGTTCAGTTAAAGAGATGATCAGATATACATTTTACTGTATTCATATGTGATGAGCTATCTTGAATAGTTTTTCAGATATAAACTTGGGATTGTAAGCAACAAATTGCCATTATTTAGCCTTAAGTTCAATCAAAACTGACACCTCAATTCATAGTAGATCTAGAGGTACACCAGTGGTACCACTGTGATTGCCTTGAGGTGTACAATTTAGACTGTCCACCTGTGGGAGAATGAACAAATACAAATTTTTATACATATTATCAGATTCACTGAGTGTAATTACCACATGTTCATTTTCTGCAGTGGTGAGAATGTAAGACATAGAGGTATACAATTTAGACAATCCACCTGTGGAAGGATGAACAAGTACAAATGTTTATATACTTTACCTGATTCACTGAGTGCTATAACCACACCAAGTTCATTTTCAGCGGTGGTGAGGATGTAAGACATAGAGGTATACAATTCAGACAGTCCACCTTTGGAGGGAGGAACAAGTACAAATGTTTATATACTTTACCTGATTCACTGAGTGCTATAACCACACCAAGTTCATTTTCAGCGGTGGTGAGGATGTAAGACATAGAGGTATACAATTTAGACAGTCCACCTGTGGAAGGATGAACAAGTACAAATGTTTATATACTTTACCTGATTCACTGAGTGCTATAACCACCCCAAGTTCATTTTCTGCGGTGGTGAGGATGTAAGACTGAGCATCCCCAAGACTCAAAACACGAGCCAAGATAACATCTCCAGGTTTGAAGCATTTGTACATTTCAACTTTGTCACGTTCTGTTGACCTAACATCTTCACTCCTGTAGATGGAGAATGTATGAGTAAATAACAAACACAGCAGTGAAATACTATAAATATACTGGATACAGGCTATCGATAATGCCGATGTAACGTCATGTAGCTGAAATTGGTAGCTAAATAACTTTAATAAAGTACAATTTTCTAATATTTTTAGTTTTTATGATTTCTTTATTCAAAATTGCAAAAAGTTAACATATGTATGACAGGGCTTAGGCTGAATTCAGCATTATTGCCTTTCGGTATTATTGCAATTCACTAATGCTACTGTACCTTATGACTCCACGGAATGGATCTGATAGACTGGTTGTTTCCACACTTATGATTGCACATTTGCACTGTCTCGGGTTGACATTTGTTACCTGAAACAGTACAAATAAATAAATAATGTGGACATGCATATGAATATGATTATAAAATGCAATAGGTGGAGGCCATGATTTAAGGTTAAGGAAAAGCCAAACTTGTGATTGAATCATATTATATAAAATACTGTTATTTTAATTCAATTTACTCTTGGTAGCTAAGCCCTATCAGACTACATTTCATTAGCTTTCATAGTCGGTGATGTTTTTTGAAAAAAGTTTAATAATAATTCATATGGGACCTTCTGTTGTTCTACCCTCTATTTCATTATTTTACTCACATTGCAGTCAAACTAAACGTGGCTGTAAAATCATTCCACTTTCATTTCACACCATGCTGTACCTACCTTAGCTGTAACATTGCTGTACCTACCTTAGCTGTAACAATTATTCCAATTTCATTTCACATCATGCTGTACCTACCTTAGCTGTAACATTGCTGTACCTACCTTAGCTGTAACAATCATTCCAATTTCATTTCACATCATGCTGTACCTACCTTAGCTGTAACATTGCTGTACCAACCTAAGCTGTAACAATCATTCCAATTTCATTTCACATCATGCTGTACCTACCTTAGCTGTAACAATCATTCCAATTTCATTTCACATCATGCTGTACCTACCTTAGCTGTAACAATCATTCCAATTTCATTTCACACCATGCTGTACCTACCTTAGCTGTAACTATGCTGTACCTACCTTAGCTGTAACAATCATTCCAATTTCATTTCACATCATGCTGTACCTACCTTAGCTGTAACAATCATTCCAATTTCATTTCACATCATGCTGTACCTACCTTAGCTGTAACAATCATTCCAATTTCATTTCACACCATGCTGTACCTACCTTAGCTGTAACAATCATTCCAATTTCATTTCACATCATGCTGTACCTACCTTAGCTGTAACAATCATTCCAATTTCATTTCACATCATGCTGTACCTACCTTAGCTGTAACAATCATTCCAATTTCATTTCACACCATGCTGTACCTACCTTAGCTGTAACAATCATTCCAATTTCATTTCACATCATGCTGTACCTACCTTAGCTGTAACATTGCTGTACCTACCTTAGCATTAACAATCATTCCAATATTTAATTTCACATCATGCTGTACCTACCTTAGCTGTAACATTGCTGTACCTACCTTAGCATTAACAATCATTCCAATATTTAATTTCACATCATGCTGTACCTACCTTAGCTGTAACATTGCTGTACCTACCTTAGCATTAACAATCATTCCAATATTTAATTTCACATCATGCTGTACCTACCTTAGCTGTAACAATCATTCCAATTTCATTTCACATCATGCTGTACCTACCTTAGCTGTAACATTGCTGTACCAACCTAAGCTGTAACAATCATTCCAATTTCATTTCACATCATGCTGTACCTACCTTAGCTGTAACAATCATTCCAATTTCATTTCACATCATGCTGTACCTACCTTAGCTGTAACAATCATTCCAATTTCATTTCACACCATGCTGTACCTACCTTAGCTGTAACTATGCTGTACCTACCTTAGCTGTAACAATCATTCCAATTTCTGGTAAAACATTTTGCTTCATTTCGCGTTGTACTTCTATATGAACCTGAAGTCAAAAATGATACTTGCGGATTTAATAATTTGTCCTGCAAGGTGTTACAAATATTTTCTTTTAAAGATTATGTACATATATGTATTTAGCCTAGTTTACTAGTTAAGATTCTTATGTAAAAGTATGAGATACGTTCACTTTTATTCATTACATGCATGTTTATACCCAGATGTTCAATTTACCCTGCCATCTTTCAATGAATCAAGTACTAATAAATAATTTATATACCTTTCCATCTTTATCACTCTTAAGCTGCATACCAGCAACAGATGAGTAAATTTGTCCATTGCATTCATATGTGCCTCTCCCAGCTACAAGACCCTTGTCCGTCCTACAGATTCTCTCACCTGTAATATCAATTAATAATGGCAATCATTGTTCAGTATCAACTACCTGTCTTTTTTCAACCAAAAAGATGAGTTTCAGAAACTTCACTGTGTTTCAACATAATATAATGTATAGCAATCACCATGTCCCTGTTGGACTGAGTCATGTGTTTTAAGGCAATGACAAACTTGTTGAAATAATACTACAGAATTAGATTATAGATTTTTATTCCCACTGTATTACATCTGGGTAGATAAATCTGGGTCTAAAAATGGGCCTTTTTGGGCAAGGTTATTTTTGAGAAAATGGCCAAATTAAATTTCAGGAAATATTTAGGCCTTGGTTTGAAAGACTCTCAGATTTTCAGGAAGGAGACAAAATATTCACTTTGGGTAATTATTAGCTTGTGCTCACTGTTGATTGTCCCCTGAATATTGCCCTATAATCATAAGCCAAAAAAGTAGTGGTAAGCTTAGTATATATACATATATATTTTATTTTACCCAGATTACTTCTACGATTCCCTAGGCCTACTGTCTTTCTACACACATGAGTGTATGCCTAATGCATAGGTGTCAGGGGGTGCATTATTTCTGTGAAACTTCAAAAAATGTTGTTCTTTAGTCATAACAGATTGCACCATTTAACATTCCCCCAAAAAAATCCCTGGGACCATGTCCTTATGCCTAGAGATGTGCGGCTTTAACCACACGACTATCACTTGCCACTCCGCCTGTACATGTACATTTGTATTTTCTGGAAAAAACTCACCCTTTTTCAAATATGGTATGACAGCCCTATAGATAGTAGTGTTGTCGCGATTAATTGATGCATCGCGATATCCATCGCCAAAGCTGATTCTGGCGATGCATCGATGTCTGAAACAAAACATCGATGTTTTTCAAAAAAATTAAATTTGATAAAAATCACCCTTTCTTATCTTATTTTGACGCAAATCGCTTAGCTTTCTCATGTCTTATTTCATTTTCCAATGTTTTCTGATATTGTTTCGCTTTAAAACGGTTTTAGTTCGTCGAAATGAACCATTAATCTAAAAAAAAAATTACTTTACTTTCATTTCACGGTTACTAGAAGTTCCCGGATGTACCAGTATTTTAGTGCATTAGTGTTCGGTATTTCAGTGCACTTATTTCGGACTTTTTCTCGATGTACTTCGCGATGTGCATCGATGTTTACTACTGAAAATTGCTGATGCATCGATGTACGATTATGGCACATCGCGACAACACTAATAGATAGTCACAGGAACCTGTATCAACACCTGACAGTGACATTTATTGGTGACCAAACCCCGGAAATATCACTTTATCTCTTATACATGTTGTATAAGAGATATATTCCCAGGGTTCTGTCACCAATAGATGTCACTGTCAGGTGTTGATGCAGGTTTCTGTGTAGATACTGTATAGTCCATTTCGTTGTTTAATTGCGTCAGTAAAAGCTTAAAAATAAGAAATCAAAATATCATTTTGCAATAATATGTGGAAAAATATATTCCTAATGTACATGAATGACTTTTGTATATCTTGGATTGCTTCTAGTTTGGCTTATAAAGTGTGTGGCCTCTTATATTTGGATGCTTCTCTGCCATGTTATTTTCAATAAGATTAAGGTAACTTATAACTTAATCAAAAAATCCAAGATGCCCGAAACCAGGAAGCACATGGCATTTGAGTATAATCTGACCATCAAAATTAACTGTCTTTTGGTTGGATTTTCTCTCAATTTTTTAGTTCCACTTATCATTTATATAACCAGGCTCACTGTGGTAATGCAAATAGAAACAGTAAACATTTTGGAATGGGAATTTGAGTCCTCTGAAAATGTGACAGAAAAATTGACAAAAAGAGTAGCATGGCAAAGGTCCCTGAACATTTTTTTTTCTTATTTCTCTGAAACATCCCTTTAATATAGCCCAAAATGGAAGGAGCTTTAGAATTTTGAAATCTCTCATACAAATTAAAAAAAATAGAAAAAAACAATTTGAGAAAAGTACTTTTTTCCTTATTTTGATCCCAATTTTTTTATCGGGTAATTTTTCAAATTTTCGTTGCTCCTTCGTTTTTGATATATGTTTGAAGTATATTTTCTGAAATGTTCAGATATTTTGAATCAGCGGTTTTTCACGGGCTACTCCTAGAAAAAAATCTTCTCAAATTCTTTAAACGGCACTTTTTTCTCAAACTAAAGTTTTTTGTTGTTCTTTGATGTCTTTGTAATGATTACAGTGCACAAGCATATGTGAAATAATAAAAACGACTTCTCAGGAAGAGTTTGAAAATTTCAAGATTGTGAAATTTTCAATTTTTTCTGAAAATCGATTAAGTTACTATTTTTTTCAAGGCCTGTCTGCGTCGCTAACATGCTAAATATAAGAGTTAGCTGACGTTTGGGAGTCTGACTTACCTTCTAAAGGTTAGAACCCGAATCTTAATGAAACTATATCACCTTTGTTGCGTCGATGATGATGCATAAACATAGCATTTGATAGAAATTAGCGTAAATGCTTTTCCGACTTTTTCATTTTTCATCAATGTTGACTTCCGGGAAGGCGTTGTAGTTATCACGAAATAACGCATTGACCCTTGAACTTTACTTTGTTGACGTGTCAACCAAGCATGTCTGGTGTGAAAATTAAAAGAATATTAAGCAATGTTCTACATCCGCCAAGCTAAGTGAAGTAGTCAATATTAAAAATTACCAATTTCAAGTGAAGTACGCAACGAACGAAACTGCGTGATCTACACTCCCACTATTGGTCTGAATGAAATGCTACGTAGAAATATGAGCCGTCTGCTGTATTAGTCGATTAATAGAGAAAGACCTGTTGGTGATGCTTTATAATTTAGACCAAAACATTGAAGAACAAACGAACCTGTAAATCGTGAAAACAACGAACAAATATTCGGTTTTCACATATGTTCGGTAATTTTTCGTATTGAAACTTCCGGAACTTACAAGGAAATCATTCATTTTCTCGATCCATGATTTACCTCTTGGATGTTGTGGCAAATGCTCCATGGTTGACGGAACAAAGTTGATATGGTTTCATTAAGATTCGGGTTCTAACCTTTAGAAGGTAAGTCAGACTCCCAAACGTCAGCTAACTCTTATATTTAGCATGTTAGCGACGCAGACAGGCCTTGAAAAAAATAGTAACAGTCACCTTAACATGGCTGAAATTCTTCAAATTACAAGACGGCACAGGCTTATTGCACAAAAAGCTAAAAATCTGAAATATTCAAATATACATTATGAATAAACTTTTCCATATACTGTATTAGCTTATTGCACAATGGTCTCCCAATTTCTTATTTTTGCCGTTCTACTGACGCAATGAAACAGTGAAATGGACTCTAGTGGAGCATTTTGGGAAAACTTGGGTGAAACCAATGGCCATTGTCCAATTTAGACGAATAAAACAGTCTACAATGTACATAGATTAGAAGCCTGATTCAAAAAACATTTCCTTTTTTTCTTAGATTTTTTCAGTGAAACTCAACTCACCGTTGAAATACTATGCTATGTACGTGATTGATGAGGGGAATGACATACCTGGAATTCTAATACACTCTTCAGTTGGCATGACTCTGTTCAATATCAGTAATGTGTAGAGCTTTTGAAACTAGAAAGTGTTCACCTTTTCTGTCTTTATTTTTTCACATGTTATTTTTGCGCAAGTTTGTGAAGTTAAATGAGGGAGAGTGAGAGGTATCACGAATTCTTATGGACCTACTAAAATACTAATTGACACCTGTATTGTATAATGGTTCTAAATTAATGACATTTAAATGATTTGTAAAGTATTTTTTATCTATACTGCCAGAACTGGGTTATAAAATAGGGTTTCAGTGGTATTTATTTCGTGATTAATGATCCCCGGCATTGGCGCTATATCGTGCGTACTATTGATCTACTCAACATGGCGGCTGTGGGAAAAATTTTAGCCCGAATTTCTGGTAGGTTTATAGCGATTTCTTTCTACATTCAAATCATGGCAACATACCGAGCATGTAAAATATTTTTTAAATTGTACTTGAAGCTTAAGCATTGGTTACCAGCTGATGGAATGCTTCTAATTTCACCTCAAAAGTGACGAACTTTTGACCCTCGATTTTTCTGTCTGCTGACCTTCAATTCATTCCATAGTTTTTAGATTCAACATCAAAGCTATTTTAGAAATCCTTTTGATTTTAGTGTGTCAGTGTTAAAGGCCCATGTTGTAATTATCTCTGAAGGCAAGCTATTCAGATCGCTTGCATTAGCATATATCTTTGTATTTACTTCGAAAATAAGTCAAATTCAGTCCGCTCCAAATCATTATTCTGAAATTCTGTGTGTCAACCAAACCTTATAGAGTAATCAAAGGGCCACAGTGCAATATTAACGAAAAAATGCATTAATAGATGCAAAACGTGTGATTCTTAGCTTACTTGTAAGTTTTACATGTAGGTCAGTGGCTCATAAATTGTGTGACTTTCTGATGCTTCTGTGGCAAATCACAACTGAACTCCCCAAGTTCAAGGAGGACACAGGTTATGCACATAAAACTAATTTACACCCTAAAATGAAAGAATCATGCATACATGTAGGCTGCAATTATTCATCCTGTAATGTACAAAATATGTATGTTTCAGTGCCAAAGTTTGGTGTGCGTCATTGTTCCAGTTACAATGCAACTAGAAATAATTTAAGCATAAATAAAAATACGAAGGTGATATGTCAAGGATTCACAGGCAAACAGGGCACATTTCACAGCCAACAAGCCATAGAGTATGGAACCAACATGGTGGGTGGAGTTTCACCTGGAAAAGGTGGACAGTCACATTTAGGTCTCCCAGTATTTAACACAGTTGTTGAGGTAAGGACATGAATTGTATCATGCATGAAAAAAAAAATTATTTTATACGATTAATAAATTATGATCCACACCTTTTGCTCTGGACCAATCAGACTCTTGCATTTGTGGGTGTGGTCAACTACTTCTGTAATCAATAGAGTCCTGTCACTTGCCTAAGGAATCAATGTGCATTTTATAAGTTTTATGTGATGCTTTACTTCAGTGTTTTAGTGCTGCATTTATTTTACTTAGATGTGAATACTAAATGTGATTTTAAATGATACATTCCATGTAAATGTGATATTACAGTGAATCTTTAATAATACTGTCATTCTCTTATAGGCCAAGGAAGCTACGGGTGCCAATGCTACTGTTATATATGTCCCGCCACCATTTTGTGCCAAGGCAATAGAAGAAGCCATAGACTCTGGAATTTCTCTAGCTGTTGTCATTACTGAGGGTATACCTCAACAAGATATGGTTCGCGTCAAGCAAAAATTATTAGCTCAGGATAAGACGAGGGTGATTGGACCCAACTGTCCAGGAATCATTAAAGTAAGTTACTAGTTTCATATTATCTTCGGTTTTTGTAAAGTCAAGTCCTGTAAATAGTATCATCAAACAAGTCAGCATGTACGGATGCCATGCTTTGTCATGGTCAGTGTACATATACAAGTTCTATTCTCAGGGTTTTATCTTAATTGAGTAAAAATTTCCATTTTTAACAAAAAATGATTAATTTGTCAAAATATGCTTTTCATGATTATTTTCCAAATTCTCTATATAATGTGCATATTGATTTTATCTGAGTGCAATGACATTTTGAAACTATCATCTTGATGCCAGTCCTGGTATATTTACATACTGCTTTTTTTATTGTCACATTTTCAATGAAAACTCTGGTACTACATAATGTATAATACATTTCTATGTATTTACAGCCTGGAGAGTGCAAGATTGGAATCATGCCTGGTCACATTCACAGACCTGGGAGAATAGGTGAGATACTGGATGAATACATCATTCATTTCTGGTCATTATTAGAAAGCAACGGCAGTTCTACTAAGAACAACCCATTGGCCTCCTATCCCACCCGGGTTGGCTTGGTGGGCTCCAGATATTGCTTTTTATCTTTATTTTTTATGTCACAACCCAAGTTATTATAAATCTCCAACCTTTTTGTGGACGATTTTATGTGGATGGTGTTTGGCCGATGGTGTCTGTAACAAATGGCAGGTGGTGACATTTTGCATGTTAATGCCTTATATGATTATAGCCCCTCTTCTGTATTCATCTGGAGCTACATGTTATGTTATTTTTGCAGGTATTGTGTCAAGATCTGGTACTTTGACATATGAAGCTGTCCACCAAACCACCCAAGTTGGCCTTGGACAGTCCCTGTGTGTGGGTATAGGTGGAGACCCTTTCAATGGAACCAATTTCATAGACTGCCTAGAAGTCTTCCTTAATGATCCAGAGACAGATGGTAAGGAGCCTTTAACATTTTAATATTTGGAGTAGAAGATTAAGTTTATGGGTAAAGTTATAATATTTGGAGTAGAAGATTATGGGTAAAGTTAAAGGTGATTCAGTATGTTAATGGATGTAAAGAAAAAATAATTTGTTATGCAGTATTATTATATGTTCATTATGGGCAATGTTTTTTTGCCATATTATAATACCTTGATGAATAACCTCTTGTCACAAGCTAGGATATCAAGAACTCCCTTGTTTTCTCCATTGGCATTTCCCTTTTTTGATTTTTATCAGATATTTGCAAGACTTTGCACTCACTAAAAAGCATTCCTTCATGTTTTTTATTTACCTTTTGATAAAGCCACCATTTTTTGTGACAAGTGTCTGTAACAAAGTGTTTCAATACCTTACCCAATGGATGATAATATCTTTTAGGTGTTGTACTTATTGGGGAGATTGGAGGTCAAGCTGAAGAAAATGCAGCAGAATTTATCAAGCAACACAATGCGGTAATTTAGCATACACATATATTCATAATAGTTACTTTTTGAGGGAACTTAAGTACTTTTTATTAATATTTACATTTCGGAACACATCATGCTCCTTTCCCAGAATAACTTGCTTGTGGCATTTGACCTGATCTTTTAGATCCTGTTCTATGTCATCAATATCACTATGGTGATAAGGATAGTTGCCGATGTCACAAGACAAGTTCTGGTCTAATGCCACAAGCAATATATATTACCAAACTGAAGAAACATCTTCAGCCTTGCACGCTGTAACCAAATATTTTGACCAACTTGAGACATTTCTTGGGTCTGTGAAGGAAACTGTAAATGACATAATTAGTGGAAGATACTTTTGTGGATGTTTGGTAGTCTTAATTCTTCAAAATGAAATATGCTTTTAACGAGATTTAAAGTCATATATTATCTTCCGCAGTATTTTTGATAGCAGATTTACAAAAAAGCTTACTACAACATTTTGTGGTGAAGTGATGAACAATTTTATCTCTTGAATGAAAAAGGTGTTTAAATTCATTTTAAAAATATCTCCATGTATCATAGGGTGAATAACTTGTCATTTTGCTTTTAGAAAAATGCTAATGTTGAGGGGTTCCAGCCTAAACCTGTAGTGTCATTCATTGCTGGGCTAACAGCACCCCCAGGCAGAAGAATGGGACATGCAGGAGCCATCATTGCTGGTGGAAAAGGTGGTGCTCAGGAGAAGATCGAGGCCTTGAAAGATGCAGGGTGTGAAGTAACAATGTCTCCAGCTCAAATGGGAACTACACTATATAAGGTATGTGTATATGGGATTTCTCTGGAAATGTTCTTTCTCTGTTACTTTTCAAATGGAACTCAAATCTTTATTTTTAAATCTAAATGTATATTTTTCACTATTCCTATCGGGCCATGCAACACCATAGCACATAACATTGATGAATTCCCAAATAGTTTTCTTAAATCCAGATCTAGTGTTCCTAGCTCCATGAGAATGCCCTAGGTCTAGACAGTAGTTTCCTAAATCCACAAATTCACTTGCCTAAAAGAACTGCCCTTAATCTACCTGTAGTGCCTTAGATACCTGTAGAGCTCTAAATAAATTTGAAGTGTTGTAAAAAACAAATGTGCCCAAAATACTTATCTTTTACATCAAGTAACCAATGTCTGTGGACTTTGAATTTAACATCTGATATCTTCTCTTCACTCTATCTTTAGCATCTATCTTTATGTTAAACTCTGTCATTTCAGATTTTACATAACAGAGAGTTTGAAGCCAAAGATGTCTTATAATGTTCCTTAATCTTAACTGTAAGCGTAGTATACAGGGTGTCCCAAAAGTAACAGGACTGGTTCTGTCTTTACTTTTGGGATTCCCTGAAGTAGAAGCCTCTATGGGATTTGAGAGTAGCATAGCTTAACATGGTTCATCTTCTTCCCTAAGATTTATGAGAAACTATGTTCTTTAAAATTCCTGATGTATTAAGTGATCTCTTGCAATTATCAATGTATTGTTGGTTTGTTTTACAAGTTCTTTAATGACTGAGCCTTTACTTTAGTTTTAAGAAATAAACAACCATTGATATATCAACTTGGCCTCTTATTTCAACTGAAATATGGTGGAAGTAATTTAGGCTCAATTGAGTAGAAGCACTATCTTTCCTATGTTTGAAGAGAACTGATTTAGGTATGCTACTTTCAGTATGAAATATCACATATTTGTAATTGTATCCCGATGGCCTTTATAACATGTTTTAACTCTCAATATTCAGCATTAAAGGTGCCTCGGGTCATTTCTGTGTCAAAATATCTCAATGCCTGGGATAAACATACTAAACTAGTATAATTATCATCCAAGATTTTACCACCACCCGAGATATCTTTTTATCCCATTCTGCAAGGGTCTGAGGTATGACCATTGTGACATACTGCACTCCATTGAAGACTTTTTGAGAAAATGTTGAAACTTTTGCATTTGGTTGACATGAGACTTAGGTCAAACTTTACAAAACTGTGATATTTCTCATTTTTGCAAGAATTTGGGAATCCAGCCTATAATATTAATATGCGCTTTCGATCTTTTGCTTTATCTTGATCAGAATAATTTGGAAATTTGCATTATGTAAAGGTAGAGTGTTCAATCAAAAGAACAGGCTGTTCAATCTAAAGAACAGGCATTAATTACATTTTGGGAATTTTGTACAGCTGATTTGTACATAAGAAGCTCTTCTGCTTTTTAGATTACAAAACTGATATCACATGCTTTAATTGATGATTTCTTGCATCTTTTATAGCAATATAAGCTAACCATGTAAGCAAAAAGTGTCTTAATCATGTACAATACAACTAACTAGATGGGGATCAATTTTTGGGATATTTTGCACTAAGTTTCTTTTATTCTAAAGTGTTGACAAATGCCTCTTTACTTTATTCTTTACTTGTTCTATAAGTAAAAATTATATGGCCAAAATTAGTATTGTTCCATTCTTAATTTCAAAAAATTACAATTTTCACAATAATTGAAATGAAACTTTATTATGAATATCATACATGACATAAGGGACCAATCATCTGATCTGTGGGATATAACTGCTTTGAAGATTAGAAATGCTTGTGTGTTCTGGGCTTGGTTTTCCAAAGAATTTTTTTTTAGGTTTGAGTAATTTAGTGATATACCTTCTGTCTGGTTCTAGTGAAAAAATACTCTTCAACAAGATTGTTTATGGAAAAAAGAAATTTACTATTTCCAAGAACACCGATTTCTGGTCAAAACTAAAAAGATATAGCCAAATTCTGCATACTGAATGAAATTGATAAAATATGGTAATTTCCAAAGATGAAGTTTCCCATTTTTGGCCAAAATTGAACTATGATACTCAAGTTTGCATTAATCATCAAAATGGATCACTAATTTTGTTGAATTGTCATTTTGACCTCTAAATAAATTAATGAGTTTATTGTAAAATGACTTCTACAGTTTTTACATTAGTGAATACATGTATGTTATTACATGCTATTTCTAGCTGCTCAACCCAGATGCAGACCCTGTTGGTATAGCCATCTAGAATATATAGGTGCATTTGGTTACCATAAACTAAGTATAGAATAATATTTATAGATAGTGCTGCTTTGCTATACTATTAACTATGGTTGTTATCTGTTTGACATTAACTCTGTTGCTTATGCTATTATTAATGCTTCTATAATATGGGTACAAAAATGAATGGTCACTGTACAAACCAAATGTGAGGAAAACTCCCAGTGAATTGTTATTATTTTTATGTTTTAGGTTTCAAATTGATTACTTTTTCAAATGTTATTTTTAAATTACTGGTTTCTTAATCTTCTGTTTATGATTTTCTTTAATCTTTGTTTTTAGCTGACTTTTTAAAATATTTATTTATTCCATGTTTGTGTTATTATACATGTACATTTCAATATTTCTGTTCAAATATTTAAACTGTAGTTTTATATCTCTGATATATATTTAAGAATAAAAAAACTTTTTATGCCCAATTAAGACTGCTACTTGCATATTAGCTTATGTATGTAAGTTTTCCCTATGTTTATATATGTCTTAATTGAATACACCATGTATTTATTTCCTTTGTTGAAAAAGCACAGTGCCACATGGAATGACATTAATTCAGTGGTTGAAGTCTACGAGCATCATGGCTTCTTTGCAATATGCAATTTGTGATACATTTGCTTGGCCTTCCTTCTGCATGAATATGATTATGTAAAATAGAATAATTTTTGACCAACTCATGGTACATTGCTGTTAATCTTAATGAAAGCTTACCAGTACTGTTTCAAGCAGAGCCCATCAAGTTAATATTACGTCATGGAATTTTAATGGATTACATTAGACTGGTTTGATTTGATAAAGTCTAAGAATTGCTATGATTGAATCCTTTATCTTTCAAGAAATTGGCAAGAATGACTTATGGTCCTTTATGAAAGTATTCCAGATAAAAGACAATGCGGTATTCTAACCAAATGGTGTTTTAATTGAAAATCTCCAGTAAAATTGTAATTGATACAGAATCATTGGAATAAAGTATGTCTTCACATAATCTTTAAAAGGTCCATACAACATAGCTTTCTATTTTCAGAAAATGGAATCAATGAATCTACTAAAGAAGTGATTTGAAGGACAATAGTGAATATCTAGGGCTAGCATACATCAACTGAGACTTTCTTATAAAATAAACATACAAACAAACAATCAACCTACAGATGATGAAATCTTAAACTACCAGGCATTGTGTGTTTGAACAATATTCATCATTTAGTATATAAAGTGGATATAACACTATTCTGGAGTTGTAAATACTGTTATTATTTGATTCCTCCTAGTTATTTGTTCCGATAGTGAATCTTATATTATTTATGGAGATCGGTTTGCGCTAGTGATGACATCTGTTAAAATATCTGTGAAAAAATATTTTAGGAGATTATTTCTATTTAATATTGCCAACTGCTATGTATTAAACCTAATGCTTGGTACATGCCATTGAAAACATAGCCAATAGTCATATATGTTAATTTGTAATTGTTTTATTGTACAATAAATGATACATTGATATGCAATAAGTATAAATATGTGAAATATGTTTTAAGTTGAATGTTTAATCTCGTGATTTGGTAAATATAAATATCACAGATATGACTTGGAATGTTAATACAATCCAAAAGATTTTTCCCTTTCTAGTCCCAATATCATACATGTCAAATGCTTGTTGCATCCCAAATCACATTAATGGTTGGAACAATGAGCAATATAAGGATGAGACCTCTAAATCATGATTCTTAACAATGCAAAAAAATATTTGTGACAAACTTGACACAATTTTTAACTATCTTAATCAACACCTGTGGTCTACTTTTTTACAATTACACGTTTTGGACAATTGTGCCTCCAAAATGTGAACATTTTCCAGTTAAATTATCCACACATGAAAATGTATGTTTTATTTAAAAAAATGAGGATGGGTAGTGATTAGATCATGTAAATGCACTCATGAACGTACACTTAAGTGTTTACGGGAATTCTTGATGTTACCCTCACTCATATTTCCGACTCAAAATAGTATATCAAACACTGACTTCAATCTCAGTTTTTACAATAACTGAGCAGCAGCAAAAAATATATGGCCAATTCCAGAGTTGTCCAGCAGGATTCAACATTTACAAGAGTTCTTGATACAGAGTTTTTGATAATTGAAGACCTGGTCAACTTAGTTCCGGTATGACTGTCAATCCAAGGAAATGAGTCAACAATGCATGTTGATCTGAGTCTTAGATTCAATAAAATGTCATTACGCCCACTGAATATAGTCCCCTCAGTATATCCTTACGCATACAGGAAGTTGTTAGTATCAGCTGTCCTGTCGCTCCGCCTGCAAAAAATACAGAATTCACTTTCAAAAGCCATTTTTGTGACCATCAACAGAAAAATCTTAATTCAGCAATATTTAACTAAGTACATAGTGTATATAGTATATAAGTACCTATTTCGAGATACCTGATTTGTTAAAATTTAGTTTAACTTTTGAGAAGGTGCCTCGTAGTTATTCCTCCACATTGGGTGAGGGGCAATGAAAGATGGATGAGGTCTAATATTATGATTAAAAGTTATGTTTTAGAGGCCAAGGATCAATATTATTGTTGGATTCTATTGTGTACATTACTGTATACAGTTGATATAATATTGATATGAAAAAAAACTATTATACATATACTTTGCTATATGATCTTACGCAAAGTAGTTCATGGACCAAAAAATACAATGATTATTTTGTGATATAAGTTCTAGGCCTGTACATTCACCAAGCCAATAGTTTAAATGTGTGTTTTCATGTGCATTGAAAGAGGGACTTTATGGGATGTGCTATGGGGTGATACTAATATGTCAATGGGCCATCTAAATAAAGTGTTAACGATTTTTGTTGATAAGGAAAATATGTTTATCATCATGGTATTGGATTATTGCATAATAGAAAAAATATGCCAAGTTTAAGAATTATTTGGCCTAGAAGCTAAATTATATTGCCTAGAAATCAAATTATATGGCCTAGAACATGTAGAAGCTAAATTATATGGCCTAGAAACTGAATCATATGGCCTAGAAACTGAATAATATGGCCTAGAAGCTTAGTTATATGGCCTAGAAGCAATATTTAATGGCCTAGAAGCTAGATTTTATGGCCTAGAAGCTAAATTATATGGCCTAAAGCTAGATTATACATCCCAAAAACTGATTTTTTGGCCTAGAAGCTGAATTTTTGGCCTTAAAGCTGATTATCCCAACGAACGAAATTCGTTAGGGATATAGTGAAGCCCTCCGTCCGTCCGTCTGTCCGTCAGTCAGTCAGTCCGTCTGTCAGTCAGTCAGTCTGTCCGTCTGTCCGGAAGATAACTCAAATACTAGTTGACATATTTTCTTCATATTTAGTAGAAAGATGTATATTGGTGAATAGTTTTACGCAAAAAAAAAATTTGTCAAGATGGCCTCCGCTTTAAAAATGACGGGACTTTTTCGCAAAAATCATAAATTTTTCATTCTAAACCAAAGTAATTAATATTATTGTTTGAAATTTTGGTAGTGTATTCACAACATTTATCTATTTCACATATATTCCATGTTTTTCATCCTGACCCCCAGGGGCCATGTATGGGGGGACAGGAAAACAGAAATTTTTGCTAATTTTTAGATCTTTCTAAAGTATAGCTTTATTATACTCAAATGAAAGGCAATTAAGAGTAGATTGCTAATATTGTATATTTTTTTCTGATTCGAGCCTCATAAAACTCAAAATGGCCGTCTAATGTACGATTTCGCAATAATTTTTCGATCCCTTCAAAGTATGGCTATATTATACTCAAATTGAAGGAATTTTGGAGTAGATCACAATTATGGTATTATTTTTCAGATTTGTACCTCAGAAAATTCAAAATGGCTGCTTTGCAGGAATTCGCAATTCTAAAATCTAATTTTTTCATTTTAAACCAAAGTAATGAGTATAATTGATTTTAATTCGGTAATTGATATTTTGTTCGTTGGGATTTGCTACTCCGCGGAGTTGCCGTTATCTAGTTTATATTCCCTAAAAGCTGAATAATTAAGCCTGGAAGCTAAGTTATATTGTCTAGAAGTTAAGATTATAAAGAAATTAGATCATGTAGTAGAAGAGGTGAACAAATACACTGCTTAAGCAAAATAACCAGAACTTTGATATTTTATAAACAGGATTCAGTGTTTTTGTCTCACCCTGTGTACTCCTAAACTTCATAACTACAGGGTGGCCATGATGCATGATATATAAAATAATAGATGAATTGAGCTTACTACATCTACTTGCTTTAAACAAATGTAAAACTTTCAAAATTTATATGAATTTATATGATGGTATGAAACTGAAAGTTCAAAATTGTATATCTAGCTCGCCAAAACATGATCACCCTGTATTTATAATAACTCACTCTGGACTGCCTCAGTAGTCTAAAAGAATGCATATTAATACATCAATATTAATAACATAAAATAGGCTATTGATATATATTTTAATAAATCTTTAAATAGAATATTATTTAGCCTGAATAAAATGATTTCTAAAATTGTAAATGAAGAGTTCAAAATTAACATTTAGGCTTAATTGTTCATGTTTAACTCAGTGATTTCAAGAAAATGGTGAGTCTATAATTTTAAAATATTGGCTGTAGCCAGGAACATTGGGTATTTTAAAAAGCAAATTCATGCCCAATACAAGACATCGAGAACTGAATAAGAATGAAAGCCAATCAAACACTGAGGAGGATTATCACAAATGTAAATGTTACCTTGCTAGATTGGAGGACAGTCCCTTTACAGTACTCATTGTGATCAGATGAGAATCATCCCTTATCACTTGAGCTGATTCATGCTGGTGTTGTCCTCTACTCTCTGAAAACAACATTTGGAAACCTTCAATTGACCCATCAGAATGCATCATTTTCTGTATTTTTATTCATCTAGACTTTATATCTGTCTTCTTTAGAAACACGTGTCTTTGAGACCAAGATGAATCTGTATTTGGAGATGCTTTGACATTTGTAAATGCTTTAACAGTTTAGAAATGACATTCTCACCTCCACTTTGGGTTCTCATTCTTGCTTCTATTACTTTGGACACAAGATTTTCCTTGACCAGAGGAACCAACTGTAGCAGTCCAAGGTAGCTAGTGATTTCTCATAGTGTTAAAGAAGTAACGCTCTCAATATGATTACAATAAAGAAAAAATATATATATATATAAAACAGACACAACAATGAACGTTGTGAACTGAATGTTATTTGAAACTGGGCCTTTGTTTTTCTTTTCTTTAAAATATTTCTAAAAAGGTCCAATATTTCTGAATATGGCAAAAATTGCAAACAAAACAACAAAAGAAAACAATGCAGCTTTTTTCATCATATACCTTTTAAATATACTACAGAATTTAAGTTTGTACCCTCCCCTTTCATTGTATATTTAAGGATTTTTTGTAGTACATATATAATCTATTATATAATTGCTAAGGATACGTGATAATTTCAAGACGGGGACTCCTTCACATGTCATCCCCTCTTCAGCTTCCATGTTAATATGGGCCTCTGTTTCCTTGTAGAGACGTTGCCGTAGTTTCACATTATGAATTGGGAGGATGTTCTCCATAGCATCGGAGTATTCTGCAGCAGTCATTACAGACACATCTCGTCCAGCATGATGTAGCAGCCTGCCTTCACTCTACAATAAACCATTTAAATCAATATTTACAAAATATCTTTTTTTAAATATTCTCCAATGACTTGATTGCAAACTTAAGCAATACTAAATAAAAATGTTGACAATGTTTCAAAAATCTCTAGGATAAATAATTTTACTTAAAAACATTCAAATCAATTTCCACAAATTCTGAATTTCCATTAACAAAAATTAAAAAGTTTCAATTTGTCTATTATACACATCTTCAATGTAATGCATAATGGTTCAGACGGCACTTAAGCAATGGTAAATATTTAAAGTGATCATTCCATGATTTTTAACTGAAAGATAATGGGGGATTTTATTATGAGGTGTTATCTTCTTTGAATTATTTTTTCCTTTTCTTTCAGGACCACCACAAAATATGACACAAATATGAAAAAATCTGAAAATGTCAATGAAAAATAAGAAACTAAAATGAGTTTAAATTTTTGAAACTCAATTTTGTAAAAAAAAGTGACTTTACGAAGGAGCCATCAGATAAAATAGATACAGAGGACTCTTGGATAACATAGATGTGTATATTATATGTGGTACTTTTGATTTTAGGAGATAGGAATATATTTTGGGTGTAAGAGGGAGAACACGGGAATATGTTATACGCTTGCTTTACTCTGGTAAAGTTTAGAACAAATATCATATTGACAAACTTTTTCTATGAAACATCTAAATAAAATTAAAATAACTAATATACAGCCTACATTTAATGAAACATCTAATATCAAAAGCAGTGATAATTCATATCAATTATGCATGTAGGTTCAGGCACGTTGCATTTAACATTTTCAAAATCCTCCCAATTTCCCATATATTTGCTTAAAATATTTATTTAATTCTCTTGTCCAAAAAGCAACCCATTTGCATAATTGAAATAAATATCTGTATAAAGTCTGTCTATGTGATCACCTCTCTATAATGAACACCTCATATTTGAACACTTATTTTAATAAGTCTAAACACACTGGGGGGTATCGTGATGCAACAACACCGTGTTGTTGCAACAAGATGGCCAGACTTCCGGTGATAGACTTTCGTACGATATTTTGTTTTCCCAATTTAAACCCATTTCTAGGACGAGTTGCTCAATAATCATACACGTGCAGTTAACTCATGATCTATATTTAAAAAAACTCTCATTAGTATGCATGTAGCATCATCAAGAAGCGAGAAATTCGCGGTTTTAATTCCTCACTATTGATGCAACAACACCACTCTGTTTATTATCGATGATGCAACAACACCAATGTGCTGATGCAAAAACGCCAATATAATGTATCATTGAATATCAAGAGAAACTGTTTTATGTTCTTTTTATAGGTGTTGGTCGGGACATGAATAAAACGCGTGAGTGCGTGGTTCATAAATGAAACGTATTTTGTTTGGTTCCTTAATGTATTTGTCTTTATCAAAGTTAAAAGGATATACAAGGTAAACTAAATACATAGGCTAAGTATTGAATCCCCGGGAACCAACCTCATTGATATTGTATCTGAAAAATAAAGATTATTCATTTTCTAAATTAAATCCCCTTGATTTACCGTATCGTATGGAAATTGTTTACAAAGAACTAATATAATTAGACTTTTGAAATTGAACAAGTTCAATTTCAGACTCCAGATCTGGACTTTTTTAAGCCGAGTCATCCAGAAAAAGATGGATGGATGGATGGATGAACTAGGAAGGAGGGATAGGACAGAATAGGATGGAACGATAGGAGAGAATAGAGAAGAAAGATAGGATAGAATAGCAAGGAAGGATAAGATAGGAAGGATAGGAAGAAAAGGATATGAAGGATAGGAAGGAAAGGATAGGAAGGATAGATAGATAGGAAGGAAAGGATATGAAGGATAGATAGGAACGGATAGGGATATAAGGGATAGGATAGGAAGGATAGGATAGAATAAGAAGGAACGATAGGATAGAATAGTAGGATAGGATAGGAAGGATGGATGGAACGATGGATGGATTTTTCAACATTTTCTTCGCTACTGACTTTCTATCAGGATACCATCAGATCGATTTTTCTCGAAATTTCAAAACGCCATAACTCGGATCGGAGTTTGGTTTGCAGATTCTGATTCCTTAGAAAATTCTATTCTTCATTCATAACTCAAACGTTAAATTTGGAGAATTTTTTATGTTGACCTACTTTTTGGACACCATATCTTAAAAGTGGGTTAAAATACTTTCTGACGGCAAAAGGCTAACACTATAAGTACACTCTTGGCTACATGTATACACAATTTCGAAGAATATAATTGAAGTGTAGTGTCAGAATCACAAAAATAAGGAAAACTTTGAATTTGACCTAGATTTTGACCTAGAGATTATTGTGTCCAAATTTTGAAGCTAGATTGCTTATAAGGTACCCTTCATTGTTAGGCTTCAATACTGGGGCTAAAAGCACTAAAATACTGAAGAATTTTTGAAAATTCCTATATATGGTACCTATGAGATAATATATAAAATATATACATGGGCATAAATATGTAGTGTTATATATCATTTTAAAGCATATGATATACTTTATCAGAATCAATAAGTTTTTAAGTCCCATTTTATAGGTTGTCATGGTTACAAGATTCCAAAAGAATACATTGGGTTTGTGCTTGGACGTGATATCACGTCATTTGTAGTCAACGTATGTACTCGGTCGTATTTTTTTTTCCCATTGACTTAACATGGGGCACCAAATTTAGCGATTTTGAGTTTTCAAAACGCCATAACTTCAGATGAGTGTTGGTTTAATGATATTGCAGTTATACAATGCTATTATATAGAGGTTATTTACTGAGAGGGATTCAATATTGGTTTTATTCCGGGACACATTATGATGTTTCCCGAGGGCCCAGGGGGAATCTGGGATAACTGTACCCCTATCAATTAAGCTTTTCGGCACTAAATCCTATTACCTACCTTTTTACTCAATCGGGGAGAACGAATCCAAAGAGAACAATACTTCTACATGTGCGCCGTGCAAGATTTCCAATAGCTCGTCGTGTTTACCGAGAACGAAAGATGTTTGTCCACCATTTTGAATGATACTAACCGGTATCAGGGTCATCAAGCTATGGAACAGGGGTTTATGATAATAGATTGGGTAACTATAGCTTGCAATGGTAAAGACGATTGAACTATGTTATAAAACAACTTCCAGTACATTCTGATATTTAAAAGTATAAATTTTTGAAAATACATAATAAAGAATCTTCGCCCGCAGGACGTGTATTTTGAATGCCTGAAAAGAACGCAAATGGGTACTGGCCCGGTGTTGCAATAGTAGCATTTAAAAATCTGTTCCTCTCGAGATTTATGGTCTTCTGAAATTATACTACTATTGGTGTTGTTGCATCATTGCTCAAATCTAGAGGAGTGTTGTTGCATCTTCGGTTTGGTGTTGTTGCATCAATAGTGAGGAACTAAAACCGTGAACTTCTTGCTTCTTGATGATGCTACATGTATACTAATGACAGTTTCTTTAAATATAGATCGTGCGCTAACTTCATGTGTATGTTTATTGAGAAACTCGTCCTAGAAATGGGTTTAAATTGGGGAAACAACATATTGTACGAAAATCTATCACCGGAAGTCTGGCCATCTTGATGCAACAACACAGTGTTGTTGCATCACGATACTCCCCAGTGAAACAGTTCAGACAGATTTTACATATTTTGCATTCATAGAAATAAATGGCATAACTACAGTTCCTCTGTTTTGATTATAAATCTCAAATGGATACCCATTCATATTCTTTGACCTCTTAAATCCTAGATGATAACTTTTTCCTATTGTTAATGTTAAGCTAATTTGGGTAATTTAGTAGAGCTGGATTGGGTGACCCATAGTGTGGTCAGGCAACCCATAGTTTGGTCAGGCCACCCATAGTTTGGTCAAGCAACCCATAGTTTGGTCAAGCAACCCATAGTTTGGTCAAGCAACCCATAGTTCAGTCAGGCGACCCATAGTTTGGTCAGGCAACCCATAGTTTGGTCAGGCGACCCAGTTTGGTCAAGCGATCCATAGTTTGGTCAGGTGTCCCATGATGTGGTTAACTGTAGTTAAGAATGTAGCTAGAATAGGTCATTGGGGTGAATCTGAGTTCAAGAGACAGTTAACTCCTTTTACTCAACCGGACCCAGCCTTGGTCCTAGTCACTCTGGGATTGAAGAGGTTAACATTCCTATTTGTGTAGGGCTGACACGGAAAAGAAACTGAACTCAGAACATCAGTCGCTCTGAATCTGGAGAATATTAGGGATTTCAGAACTCATTGTCTTATTATAAGCCTTGCCCAAGTCGGTCTCTTTTACTTATCTTGATTTCTATTATGGTAATAATTCAAGATCAGATTAGTAAAAATATACTGACTTGGGCAAGGCTATCTTATTATAAATCAATTAAAAATGAAAAATAGGTATATGAAGGTGCTGTTCCGAAGATCAGTTTCCCATGGTAAGATTGGACAGTTTGGACTATATTTCTATTCCATGTTAGCCCTACATGTTGATATTTTTGTATTTTGCGTAAAAGCACTACTGATATACAATATATTAGAAGCATGTTATTTTTGCAAGATATGATTATAAATAAAGTTGTATGATTATTAAAGTTGAAAAAGCAAATAATGCTGAGTGTACAATGTTTATGTTTACCAATGCCATAGCTGTGAGTTTCTGGTCCAAACGTGCATGAAACTAAATGACATGCAATTCAAATTAATGGATATAAATTCTGTTTCATAGTTGCAATAGTTGTGCAAGTTATTTAGTTATATAGTTTGCCTTTTATACATTATGTTAATCATAACAAAACATTTTAAGTGCATTTTACAGAATGTTGAATAATTTATAAATAATAAATTATTTTCATAAAATGAAAAAAAGATTTCTTGTAAATTAAATATTAAAAATTGACTCAAGAAATGCTCATAATGTATGAACTAAAATTATTTGACTTGAGACTTTTGAGATAAACTTGAGTGCACTCACCTCTAAGAAACGTGGCTCTCTATACTTGAGTACAATATACATGATGTATTCACAGACCAGCTGTTTTGAGATCTTATTCTCGCTAAATGATGTGTACCCCATCTGCAGAGTTTCTAAATCATCATCCTAAAAAAATCATGATTTTTCATTCATCAATAAATTCGTTGAAGTATTAAAGGCACTACAGATGTGTGGTGCTATTAAAACATATCACAATGCAACACCCTGAAATTTCATCAGAGGTACATACTTATAGTACCCTGGTGTCAGCGTTGCAAGTGGCCATTACTACCCTTCGGGTAAGAAAGACAATCACATAATTTTGATGCTGATAAAATCTTCATTTCCTTAGAAATAGCTTATTAGAATTTGAATATGAATGAACGCCAGCTACTCATGAAGGCATAAATTAATTCTGTTTGATTAAGGCTAAACCAAAGGAACATCTCTTATTCAAAGAGTCTAGATTATACATTGTAGCTCTCTTTTCTGTTTTTATAAGAAGCAAAATCAAACTACTGAAAAGGATATACAGGGTGTCCGGAAAGTAAAGATTCAAATGCTCTAATTTTAAGAGATTTACTTGTTTTGAGATGAAATTGCTCCAGAATGTAGAGTGACATTATAAGAATATATCTTGCAACTGTCATGACTTTTAGTTTCAAAATGAAAAAGTTATGGTTGTTATGGTTACGGGAGTCGAGGGTATGTGGAGCAACGTCACTATAGTGCTTTACAAATCTCTTTCCTGCTCATATAATCTTAGCACTATACCATCTATTCCTATGTTATATCAAATTATGTACCACAACAGCATAGGGATTAGTAATGTAACATTATTTGATAATTTCATATTACTACTATCATTGAATATTCAGTATTTTCCCCATAATCTATACATTCTTGGTGCATCTTGACCGGTGATTCAAAGACCTGACAAAACCGCTGCTGTCCATCTCTCAGATTGCTGATAACATTGGCTTCCAGCCGAGTCTCATTAGTATGTTGAACTTTTTACAAATATTGCTTTCAAATGGTCATTAAGGTAGAAGTCTAAAGAGGCTTTATCAGGTGAAAATGGGGTATTGTATAGAAAGGTTTAATTTCATGACACTCCATTGTAAGATTTGTTTTTTGCTTTGTGAATTGGTGCATTGTGGAGATGCAATATTGACGTTCCTACTAATGGCCAGGGACCATTCTTTTAAGCACTTGTATAATATTTCTTTCATTTTACTGGTTAGTGACATAACATAGTTCTGATATGGAGCAATGACATCATTATATAAAAGAAAACACTATGGCAGTGATAATACAGTGATGAACAAAACAAAACATAGATAGAAAATACAACAAAAAACACTGTTTCAAATGGTTGTCTTTTAGCAATTTTTCACTTTTTAGCGTTGTTCTGGAACTGCTCCACATACCTCTCACATCTGTTACCATAACAATCGTAACTTGAACACATTTAGAATATATGTGATGAAAGTTTGTAGATATATTGTCAAATTGTTCCTCTACATTCTGTAGCAATTTCATTTCAAAAAACCCAAATTTCTTAAAATAAGAGTATTTGTATCTTTACTTTCCGGACACCCTGTACTTACAGATGCAAATGGGTATACAACTGAGGCAAAAGCTCTGACATCCTCAACTGACTTCCACTCAACCAAGTCTATAAAGTCAGCCATTAGGAGGATGTAACGTGGCACTGTAGCATCAAGGTTGCCCACCAAAGCATGGGCAAAGATCTGTATTGTCTGGAATATAAAGTATTTATATATACATGAGGTATTCAAAAATACAGAAAAAGATTTTCACTACAAAAAGACCCCTACTGTTCTACCAGTAGACTAAAACAAACAAAGTAACATGTATCATATTGACTAGTATATACACTCAAGACTAAGCTACATGAAATTAAATCTCATACTACATCATTTGAAGCATATGGGACACCAGTTTGATTTTAAATCACTAAAGGCTGTTTAAATTCAAGATACATACATTCGACCCATATGTTTAAGTATTCCTTGTAGCTTAATCAAAGATGAATTTATTTGTATTGTACCTTGCTTGTCCCTGCATTTTCCACTATACTGCTAATAAGGTCATGGCTGGTAAGATATGCAATGTCTTGTTTCAAGTAACGGTCACCCATGAACATATAAAGGTTATCCTGAAATGAACCAGAACATGCAATATAAGAATTAAATTCAATTGACAATTCATCTTATTAAATCTCATGGGCAAGTAAAAAACAGAAAAACAAAAGTCAAATCAATCAATAAAGATGTCCAAAGGAGCTCATGTTATACTTGACAGAATAGCTAAATCTTCATAAGATTATTGTCACAGCACTGTAGATGAAATTCAATCTCAAATGAATACTGGTAAATAAAATAAAATATATGTTACACTTATATTCCACATTCTATAAGAACAACCCTCTCTTCTTATATACAGTTATGTTATGAGAGTCACTGAATACTTTAATAGTAGCTGAGGTCTATAGTTAGGGGTTCAGGAGGCCCTTGCCAAAGATTCTTTCAAAATTATGCAGTTTTTCACCATTCCGAGCACTTTTCAAGCGATTTAGAGCCAAGTAGTTGAATGTGAACCCCCCTTGAATCTTTTGAAAAATGAACCTCCCCTTGGCAAAAACTAACTACGTGTCTGAGTAGAGAGACTTACCAAAATCGAGTAGAATCCCTCATCTTCCAGAGCATACTCATCCTGCCATATAAGGCAAGCGTAAAACTGTTCAACCAATGACATGGTCCGATCCAGAGATAATGTCCTAGGAATAGTCCGCTCCAATTCAGTCCTGTTTTTGTAATCATCCCATAGTTTGTGGAATGAGTTAACCTGAAACAATCATAGATGAGTAATTATTTCTAAACTAAATTCACATAATGTTAAAACACTGCTTGAGACCAATCAAATCCTTGGTTTGGTGGGGACCCTTTTCTAATCAAGCACTTGAATTGGAGGGTGTGGTTAATACACACACTACTCAAGACCAATCAAACACTTGTGTAGGAAGATGAAGTCATGACTTCCCAATGATCTAGACCACACATTTCACGACATAAGTTCTGTGCTGCAGAAAATTGCAATTAAAGTAGAAGAGGGCAGATTCCTGTCTGAGTCAATTGGGTAGAGAGAGACCCCTAAAAGGAGCATAAGACAATAGATTTGAATAAACTTACCATATGAGTATCAGCTCCAGCAGAAGGCAGGTCCCTGTCTGAGTCATTGGTCATTGGGGTTGTGAGAGACCCCCTAGAAGGAGCATAAGGTAAGGACTGTATACTGGGTTGTGCACTTCCAGGGATAGCACTGTTGATGGCTGTGTTAGAATCTTTACGTCGTCCTTGCCTACTGTCAGCAGTGGATGGGGGGATGTCAATCTCCATGATGGTGTCAGGGGAGCCTGGGTGTGGCCTCAAGGCATTGCTGGAAACAAAGGTCAGAGGTAAGGTCAAAGGGCAAAACATAATGCAGACTTACATTAGGCATGTACCTCATGCATATTCAAATTCAATTGGAAGATGAGATTTATTGGCCCTTTACCTGTTATTCTCTACTTCATTGATCTATGTTAACTATATTTGTACTATATTTATTATAGGATTGCTATGATCATTCATGGTTTAAATGGAGTCAGGTCTCGGGTCAGGTATGACTTTTTCTCAATTTCTCTGTGGTCATACACTTTTCACCTATCTCTAAAATAACGTACAGGGTGTCCCAAAATTAAAGTGACATCCTATTTTATACCACTCATCAAAATTGCTTAGAATTCCCAGTAATGGTATAGATTTCCAGTTGCTATAATATAGACAACCATAGTGTACAAATGCTTTCATTAATCTACAAAATGGCTGCTGAGTCAACCAGTGGTTATGGCTCATTCTGTCCAAAACATGTACTTAAAGTTATGTATTCAAGTTGCAATAGGCATAACCTTACTTTTGAGACAACCCTGTTCTTTTGTAATGTTGCCTATGACAACCCTTTCATACTCAAATACAATGCATGCATTGGCCTGAACAGGAATTGAACCAGGGGGCACTTGTGCCAGTCAGTAGCATGTGATGCCCAGTATATTGCTACTTACTCAACCAGTTGTTGGTTTATCTTCACCTTTGGCCTAGTAACCCTAATATGTGTTGTATTGTGTGGCAGGACAAATATTTTATCTGCTCCTACTATCTTGTGTGGGCACAAAACCGTCTGAAAATAAATAAGGTCCATTGTGTGATGGTGTATGTCCAGCTATAGAAATACATGTACATGTAGTTTTGTGATAAAGCTATTTCATGAAATGAAAAAATGCTGAACTGAATTCAACTAGAAAGCCCATGATTAGTTATATTTGAAATTCATCATCCATCTGATCAAGTTTTACAAGTAGTGTAAGCTAATCTTACTCATTGAGAATTAGTAAATTGAATAAAAATTAAAAGTACAGTGAACCATGTAAAGTGGAACAACTCTAGAAGTGGAACACCTCTGTTAATGGAACACAACCAACTGACTTAATGTTAAATGAGCCAGTTTAAGTGGAAAATATCCTGAGTGCAACACTTTAAGAGGTACCAAAACTGTTCCATTTAGACAGGTTTTACTGTAGGCCAACAGATGTTTTATTCCTTGGAACCTAACAGTCACGTCATTATGCCCTCAATTTCCACGAATTTAAAACACAAACCTTTTCTCCACAGCTAGCACAATATTTGGCATCCTTAAATTCGTGAAATGTTTTTGCTCCATTATGGGATGTATACATCATAGCAGCATATTTACTGAAGACACGTTCTTGAGGGATGAATGGGTCCATATTAGCATTGTCCTCCTCATCTTCATCAATGTCAGCGGACACAACAGATTCACTACGTATACTGCCACGACTTCCCAGGGCTTCTCGTTGTTTTTCTAATAATTTCTTTTTATTCTCTCGCCTCTTTTTGCTGAAAAATAGAGCAATAGTTAAATTAGTTCAATAGGAGGTGTGAATAAAAGACAGTTGCATGTGACAAGATACAATGTACATGTATAATTTTCAATAAAAATTACAATTTCTGAAACAAGTCCTTTAAAATCAACTTTTTCATATTAAGTTTAAAAGGCTTCACATTTTACATTTTTGGAGCATTTGGGTAAGTAATATATAAGCCATGGTCGTTTAAAGAGGAAGCCCAGTACATGTACTTCAATGTTGAGAAAATTTTGTGCAAGACACATATGAAGACTTGGAATGAAATATCATAATATACCTGACAGATGGTTTATTCTCCTCCATTATCTGTAACTGTTCACTGAGCATAGTTCTATGTTGTCTAAGTAGTTCCAACTCTGTGTTCAGATCATCTATTGATTTAGTGAACCTGCCCTGCATCATTGCTAGCTGTAACAAGAAAATGATCAGTAGAACACAAACAAAAATTAAATAAATAACACATACATGTATTTTTAAGCCTCATTTTCAAATTACAGTGGTTTACAATGATTTGGGCTCCAACTATTTCATAAATTGCCCCAAATGGCTGATATGTGAGAACGCGGCTATTTAAGATTTGCAATTTTGGATTCGCAACCAGATTGCATGAAACCTTTGGAATTTCGATCCAGATTTATCCAAAACATTGGACAAAATGAGCCTCTTTACAAGAATGTATTAATGGTACCATATCCATACTCATGCTAAACATTAAATTATGAACCTCTGTTTTGCACCATACCTGTTGGTCTGCCTTATTTGCCTGTTCATCCATGGCACTGTATGAAATATCAGGAGCCAGCTCATCAACTGGTGCAGGGCCATTCTTATGTTGTTCCAGGAAACTCTCAAACTCTAAAATATATTTATCCAAATTATACATGTTTTATACATGGCCTTTATATAGTACCCCACACATAATTTTGTCGCCAACTTCAATTTAAGATTAAAGTACTTTCCTACGTACATATCTTCATGAAATTTAGCATACTTAAACGTGAACATATTTCCAATACTCAAATTTTTTTATTTTACAAACGGATACCAGGTGTTCACTTGAGACTGACAGCAAACTGCTACATTGTTTTACATTTTCCCGCTTATTTTGCACTTTTGACCTCTTTCGGTACTGGTTTAAGAAAACTGTTTTGAATTAAATCTGTTCAGTTGAAGTCTAACAATGAAAGGGAAAAAAGGGTTTTCCAAAGGGGAACAAAACCCCTCTTCTATTTACTTCAAAGGGAGGAATGTTGAAAAAAATATTGTGGTAAAGTGTACAAGAACGTATACACCAAGAAGGCGAAGTTCGATTTTAGAACAGTTAGACCAAGGCAGATCCAAAACCAATGTTGCTGGAAACCATGGAATAAATATCAGAACTGTTCAGCGGATTGCATCTACTAACCAGAACTCACCTCAGCAACGGGGTCCAAAATTGAAGATTGTACCAAATTCAGAAGTTGAAGATGTCTTATTTGACATCGCAGATCATGAGCCATTCGCACGGATAATGGAGATTAATGAGAAATTTTCCCTTGAAACAGATGTTGTCATCTACCAAGAGGGGCTTTTTTGGTATGGGACAGGCTTGGACGATCTGGAAGAGCACAGAACCCATGTAAACAGCACTATAACCCACAAATTAAAGCAAAATTAGAGAAGCAGGGATAAACGTGGTAATATGCTCCCCCCTAAAGGTCATCTTCTCAACCCTTCCGAATTGTTTAACAATTGTATCCAGCAAAAAGTAGTACGTTGGCGACCGCCATGTGACCCCACCGATGAGTACGGCCATGCAATCGTTGGGCCACGGTCGTTTGATGAGTGTGCTATGGCAGTGAATGATGCCCTGGATGAAATGAAGGATAAACCTGAAATGTTTCACGAGTTTTTTAATAAAAGAGCAACTGGAAGGGACTTTCTGAATCGTGTTGCAAAAAGCTCTGTGGCAAAGAATGTAAAGGCTCGAAGGTCCAGGGCTGGCATTGCCAATCGCCAAATATTCTCATGGCCAGCACGTCGCAATTAAGAGTTGAACCCGTGGGCGGATTTATTAGAGTTTAAAGCTAATATGAACTGAATTTGCAAAATACAAACTGGAATTTTCATTATAGAATAACTTCAAATATAGCCATGTTCAGCTAAACAGTAGTAAAAGTACATTTACTTCGCAAATGTAATATACAACATGCAAAACTAAAACATTCAAGAATACAGTTAAAAATGCTAAAATAGCCTAATTTGAGGCAATTTTGCAAAATGATACTGCATTTTGAAAATGTTGTTAAAAAATAAATAATAAGTTTTATGTTAAATAAAAAAATTTGAGTGTTGGAAATATGTTCAAGTTTAAGTATGCTAAATTTCATGAAGATATGTATGTAGGAAAGCACTGAAATCATAAATTGAAGTTGGCGACAAAATTATGTGTGGGGTACTAGAGTGATACTTGTCATGTTAAAATCATCCTTCCCTGTATTTGTTATGAGGTTTCAATAATAGATGTTAATGAAAAAATAAGCCAGGGAGCTCTCATCAAAAAAGTACAAATCTAAACTTAATTTATATTCTTGGAAATTAGACATTTAATGTTTCCCATTAGAGCTGGTTCGTCTAAAAAACTTCTATTGAAAGGCTTGCATCTGTATCTCTAATATTCTAATTAATGACTCTCAACACAAATAAATGAAGACTGCTCTCACCTTCAATCGTTGCATTCATCACTGTGAGCAGCTGTTCCTCTAACTTTCTGGCTGACTCTATGTTACTGATAAGGTGAGCCTGGAAAAAATGTGAAAATGTGAAAATAAAATGGGAATAGGAAATGGGAAGAGATGAAATGGGGAATGTATACTATTTGAAGCGCTTGAATTTTTGAAGCCCTTTTGAAGTCATTATCAAAATATCAGAATTTGCAGAGCTTTTTAAATGAGTATCACAATGAAAGTGAAGAACCTTTTCCAAAAATCAGAAAATATCAGGTTCTCACCCTTCTGGTTGCAACAACGGGAACTTTCTTCTTTTTCCTAATATGGTCATCATCCCCATGGTCCAGAAATGCTGCAAATATATTGGCATATAATATGATTTAAATATGTTGCATGAATTGGAAGAATGAATATTGTAAATAAAATTATATTTGATGTTTCTTTTTGGTACCCACAATGAAACATTTTTTCTAAAATGTTAATTTATTTGTATGCACTAATGCAATATTATCAATCTTCAAAATGCCAATGTTACTATGCAGATATAGTGTCTGGGGTACAGAAATAAAAAAAAATATTATAAAATTATACAATGGAAACACAAACCATGCCACAAATTAATTCCAACTACTATTATCTTCTGTATACCAAATGCTTAAGCTTAAATCAGGAATGTGGGTTTTGCAATATTTCCTGAAGAAAATTTTTATAGTTGACATTGAGCCAAACAATCTCAATTTATAAAGTTGTATTATTACCATAATGTAGCTCATCATAGCCCTGTTTGTACTGCTTCAAAAATGACACTTCACCCTTAGTGTCTGTTAAATCCTCTTTAAGATCATCTAGATCACAGTTCAGGTTGTACTCCATGTTGAAGGCAGCATCTTTTTCATTCCTTAAAGACTCCTCTAGTCTAGAAATCAAAATTCAAATTCAGAAAAGATGCAACTTATCTATTAACTGTTCATGTTATAATGAATCAACAGCTCATGGGTATTCATTCTCTTCTCTTGTCAGGATTTTATGGTTTCAATGTTCACTGTGGAAACTAAAAATTCTAAAAGTTCTACTAATTTACTTCAACATCATCTTCATGTCATATTTTATAGCATAAACAATTTGCAGTAAAATCTGTGTGAAAGGAACACTTTTGGTAACTCTAAAATGTGTTCCACTTGGGAGTTGTTCCACTAATAGAGGTTCATTTAGTTGGTCTTGGGACTCTGAAAAGTGTTCCACTTATGGAGATGTTTCATTTTACAGGTTTTACTGTATTTCAGTTTTTTAAGTACATTATTTTTTCATCATCATACCTGTCAATCTCAACATTCTTGTCAGTGATCTCTTGTTTCAGATTGCTGATTGTGGCATCTTTTGTTTCAATGTCACGTTCAAGACTTGCTATGTTGTCTAAGGAGTCTTCAAACTGTTTCTGCTTGTCAAACAACCTGTAGAGTAAATTATTTCACCTTTTTACTTGTTTTGTTTTTCTTTTCCTAAAAATGGTCATGTTTATAACTCCCCAGTGAGCATTGATGCAAGTTGGTACTGCAACCACTTTAGGAATAGCTTGCATCCAACTGAAAACTGATTTCAAAATTAAACATATCATAGAAAATTGAAATCTAAAAAAAATTCAAATTCACTGACCCAGATTGGTTTGTTAATTTTCTAAAACATTTTTTATCTCCTTGAGGCCTATGGCCAACATAAAGCAAAATATAATGATTGGGTAAATTTCTAAGCTCAAAATTATTCTAGTATTAAAAAAGACGCAGTTATATTTGGCTAACTTTGATAAACTGTAGAAAAAGTCCTGGGAAGGACATTTTGGCCTCTGTTACACTTTGGTGACCACTGACCTCTTTTTGACAGCATCAAGTTGTTCTTGGAGTATATCTGCCTCTTCATTTCTCTCATCATAGATACGTCTGACAAGAGTGAAGAATGGTATTCTATCTATTGTTGTTGTGCTACTGGTGGTAAGATGGTCACTGTAAGCTGCCTCTGTTGATAGATGTTAAACTTTGTATTATATGTGTATGCATTTTGTGATTACCACATTGGGTGATGAACTTCCAAACTTTCAATAAATATAACTATAGAGTTATGTAAAACATTGTCTTTCCATAAAAAAGGCAAGACAATGACATGAATGAGTTATATGCCTCTCTCATTTTTGAGAAAGTTTGTTTCCAGACCATAATATAATTGTCTAAATATGTAAATGTGTAAATCATATTAGCTAAAGGATTTGATTTATGTACAGTACGTTTATGTATTTTAAGTTTTAATTGAGCAACATTTAAGCATAAACCAATGAGGAACAATCTACTTATGACTGCTATCTACATGTATGTGAGTCTATGAATACACTATACATTACCAATAAAATTTGTAGAACTAATAATAGAGAGCAATGGAGCACAAACACTTATGTATACATCCTTCTACTATTCTTCTAGAAATGTTAATATTAGATGAATTTACCAAATACATCATCTCTGATCATTTTGATGACCTCTGTATAGATGCCTAGCTTTGGAACTAGTTCATCTAGAATTTTAAACACCATCCCGATCTTCAACTCTGTCAAACCTCCATCTTTATTCTTCTCTGTCAACAACACTTGGTACTTTGTAGCTGCAAATAACATTGATTGTTTTAATTGAAACTCTATTTATTATAGAGAAAAATATTGTTTATGATACATGTATGCATGTATCATCAAGAATAAAGCATGCATGGTTGTACTACATATGTACATTGGTATTTGGCACATTGGTATAGTTGAGGTGAGGTAGAGTGAGGTCATTCTGCAGCACTCAGCTTCATCTGCCGCTGACTTCATGGTTCGGTTTACACAGTCATCAGCAAACACCCTTACAGTTGATGTGGGACATCAAGGGACCAAGCATAATGTTTTGTGGAACTCAAAATGTTACCTTGGCTGGTTTAGACGTTTCCCCATTTACAACTACCTTCTGTGTTCTTTGAGTCAGCCATTCTGTAATCCAGGTCTTGGTCTTGTCCCTGGTACCGTAATACTCCAACTTTACCAGCAACGATGGGCGGCTAGCTATGTATATTGAAGGCTTTACTACAGTCATGGGCTTTCAACTCTAATTGAAAGCCCATGCTAAAGTCTAGAATTAGGACAGATTGACAACCAAAGTCCAGTGATCTCATTAGATTTTCTACAGTGACGACCAGGTGGGATAGGCCCATTATAACTGGAGTAAACAATAGTCTGAGTCTGAGGTTATTTTACATTTTTCAATCAATCAGTAATGATTTTACTTTTTAGACAACAAAATAAAGGATGTTTACCAAGTGACTTGCTATCTGAAATTCCTTCTTTCCTTTTTCCTTCCATACTTTGAATCTTTATATCGCGATGAATATTAACGTTTAGCTTCCTATTTGATCTATATGAGCACACTCACTGCTAAAGATAGACGGATATTTTTCACATTTTGTATATAGGTTTCTATGCAGGTACTTGGTCACCCAAAATAGTTTTTTCTAACAAGATTTGCATCATAAATTTGAAAGAATATTAAGACATAATATATTCAAGTCATATCAAAAAGTATAAAATAATATACTGGAGTTATCTGTTCAATATATTTTTCTATTGAAACATCTACATACCGTCACACAATCATCTTCTTTTAATTTACATTTGGCGTGTCATTTTATTCAGTCCGTAGAGTCACGAGCTTCATTTCCTGTAAAAATGGGGATGGAAATACCAATGATCGTTGTTACCATTTTCTGGGCAGTTGTTGGTGGTGTGCTTCCATGGGTAATACCCAAAGGACCCAATAGAGGGTATGTTTCACAATATCGCAAAAAATCTGGTTCAAGACGATGACAAATTGCCGAAAATAGGCTTTGTTTTGGGGGGAGTAATTTTCTGTCAATTTATCAAGGTTTTCATTTTCACAAATTAATAACATGATTCATGGTCATAACTATGCGGATAAGGTATATCTTAAAATTTAAATAAATACATCCAAATGGTTATGGATCAATTTAGCATCAAGAATTATAAATACCTTATATTGATGATACTGTACTCCCAACTAATATTTGATTTTATTTTGAAGTTTCACGCCCATTTTTTCGCTTAGTGTTTAAAGTCTGTTACACTGCTTCAAAGGCAAGCAGTTAAACCGGAAATATAAGAAATCTAAATAATATTGTGCAATAATATATAGAAAAAAATATTCATATTGCACACGAATGACATTTGTATATGTTGGATTGCTTGTAAATTGGCTCATAAAGTCTGTAACCTCTTATATTTTGATGCTTCTCTACCATGTTAATTTTCAATTTTTTCTATATATTATGGCACGATGGTCTATAAAGGACGATTCTCGGTTTGGAGAACGAAGTTCATCAATCTAAATGAGCATTATCCCTGCTTCGGACAAATTTGATTTTTTTAAATAATATAGATTTGAATGTCCTCATTTGAATAGTTATAATTTAATTTGGGTAATATTTCTAGATTTTTCTCAAAAAATATTAGCGCAGTACACTGATGGACTTCTTTCCCCAAATCGAGACTTGTATTTTATTAAAATCGGTCTATTTGAGCGTTATCCCTGCTCCAGATCAATTTGATATTTTTACATCTTGTAGATTTAAATGTCCTCTTTTGAATATTCATAGTTTAATTTGGGTAATATTTCTATATTTTTCATGAAAAAAATATTAGCCCAGGAGACTGTTCTCCAAACCGAGAATCGTCCTTTCTTAATTTTCAGGTTCAACTGCTTGCCTTTGAAGCAGTGTAACAGACTGTAGTCTGTTGAAATCTTGCCGCTATTAATTTTCTCGAATTTGTGATTTCTCAAAAATGTTCAAGCTTTTCTACTACTTTTTTCCCCAACTGCGTCGGTAGAACTTGAAATATAAGAGTTACCTAAAGATTGGGAGTCTTACTTACATTCTAGAGGTTAGAACACACATTTCAATGAAATCATATCACCTTTGTTGCATCAACCATTGAGCATTTGGCACTCCAAGAGGTAAAATATTGACTGTGAAAATGAATGGTTTACTTGTAATTTCCAGAAAGGACGATTCTCGGTTTGGAGAACGAAGTTCATCAATCTAAATGAGCATTATCCCTGCTTTGGACAAATTTGATTTTTTCACATAATATAGATTTGAATGTTTTCTTTTGAATAGTCATAATTTAATTTGGGTAATATTTCTAGATTTTTCGCAAAAAAATTATAGCGCAGTACACTATTGAACTTCTTTCCCCAAATCGAGACTTGTATTTTATTGAATCGGTCTAATTGAGCATTATCCCTGCTTCAGACCAATTTGTTATTTTTACATCTTGTAGATTTAAATGTTCTCTTTTGAATATTCAAAGTTTAATTTGGGTAATATTTCTATATTTTTCATGAAAAAAAATTAGCCCAGGAGATTGTTCTCCAAACCGAGAATCGTCCTTTCAATACGAAAAATTACCAAACATATGTGAATATTTAATGTTTATTCGTTGATTTTATGATTTATTTGTGTGTGTATTCTTTACTGTAGATTGGGTTAATTTGGCGCTACTTAATTTGGCGATTTTGCCATTTTTGGCATATTGGCGGCTATTTAATTTGGCGGATATGCAAAAAAAAATTTAATTAACTTACGCGTTGTTTGCGAATTTTATGTTCATTTTTTCTTTTGAGGACCACTGGCAATATTCACCACGTTTGTACATTTTTGTGAGATCATCCTTTACATTTTGCACCTCGATTGATGCTGCTACTATACTGCACTTTTCCTTTCTAGTTTTTCCCTGAGTATTACAGTCTATGGCATGGGCCATTTTCCACCGCTGTATGGGTCAGTTGTAAAATGGCCCGACCTAGTAACCTACATGCATATTTCTCTGTAATTAATCAAAATTAAGGATTAAAGATGGCATGATACTCTAGCTCATTTGAATATCTACACACCAGTGTCAGTCTCTTTTTTGACGTCCACATCAATATGGAGCAATAGCAATGTGAAGAATTTGGGAAGTTTTCTTAATTATCTCAATTTCTCATGAACCATTTTTTTTAAAAATAGGATCATAACGTAATTTAATATCTTGGCATCAAGTTTATTTGATTCATTTGAGTGACCAAAAAGCTTAAAGATTGATATGTACAAATTACTTAATCAAGTGCCATTAATCTGCTAGTATAGTGTCTTTGTGGTACAGAAGATGTTAGCATATAATATTGAGCAGTTCACATACTTTGTAATATTAAAATTGTTGAAATAAGACTAAAAGATTTGCAGTTCTGATATGTCAGTTCACAAGTTCTAGTTAAACAAGGGGGGGGGGTATAGCATTCTACTACAAGAGTACAATGTGACACAGTTTACAAGATCTATAGAACGATATTAACCATTTTTAACCTCACACCTTTCCTACTATTTTTCCATCTGATAAAAGTGCTTTGGCATTTAATCATTTTTATAAGAACATATGAGGATATGCTGAATTTAATTGTGATAAGACAATATGTGTGAAATTGAATAAAGCAGTAAATACTAATTATTACGTTTTGACATATTTCATATGTAGAAACTGCTATGTATATTATTTTTATCCCTCTATTATTCATTTACAATTGACTTGTTTCTTTCACCATTATTCAATGTGATTTTATTTCAAAAATAACGTTGTCTAATAATAATAATATGTTGTCTTCTGATAGCTTGTATTCTAAAGCTTCGTTTTTCTAAAAATAATTATACTTGTAATACAGAATGCATAGTTCATTTACTCAATGGACTTTTATATTGAAGGTGTTGAAATTCAACATCAAAATATATTAGTAAACATAAGCCAAACATAAGTATGTGTTAAAACAATAGTCACTAAAACTGAAATAGAAAGATTTTTTAATGGATCTATTGGTGTCATATACTGTACGATCAACATAATAGATAATAATCAACTTATCCATTCTCATTTACTTTGCACAAGTCATCGGTGATGAGCAAGAAAAGGCTGCAAACAATCATATTCAACGAGAAATACAGATTTGTTTGACTTCCAACCCCATCACAATGGTAAATGCACTATATGTATACTTCAAAAAGAAAGGCAATGTACAAATGTTTAGATTCCATAGAACTAAAAACCCCGATAGATGCTTATTTGTTGCCTCAATATAATCACAAAAACAGAGATAAACAGATTTATAGAATAATATTTGCAAGAAATGACTTGTTAACAGTGATAAAATGAAAATATGTACACATTATCAGAAGAAATGGAATCATTTCCAAGTGAATCTCTATTAAATTCAATGAATGACATTTCTATTATATCATACTGCAAAGGAGATTGTCATTAGAGAGATTTCGTACATAGTGAAAGTACAACTTATAACGTATACTTATACTTATAAGTAAACGTACAAGGTGTTTCATAATGTGGGCTTTTCGTCAGGAAAGATCTTCTCGGACTGTAATAAATAAAGGTCAAAGGGATGCCATTTGTACTTTCTTGAATTGTAGCATGTTAAGTTGATCCAAATATGTTTGTCTAGAATAAAATAGGCTCATATATAGTACATAATGTAATAGACCCATCTCTTCTCAAATTGACTTTTTGGAGATGCTCGTTATGAAACACCCTGTATGTCATTTGTTGAGCTACTGAATGGGTCGTTTCCAGGAATCGCTAGAACCTACTGGTTTGATTGGTGTTTCAAATTGATAGTTAAGGTATTTGATTGGATATTGTTCCTATTCAGTCAATTAATTTTTTAAAATGCTTGCGGTCAATTGTTCCACACACATGTAGGTAAAGCTTTATACGGAGATCCAACTGTATACGTTTATCATCTACGTATTTATACCGTTTGTAAGTTCATTGAACTTATATTGATCATGAAAACTTTGAAATAATCAGCTTGTTTATGTAATGACTCACTTTAAAGGATAATGACTCACTTTAAAGGATCGTGTTTATAATACACTATAACTACTATGACACGGAAGCAAGCATTTAATTATGATGTGCATAATCTACACGTGCAGATGACAGTGCATTCACAGTCTCTAGTTGATGGAGCTTTTCTATATCGGGAATAGTTATGTTCCATTAAGTACAATTTAAAATTGATTTTAGTAAATATAATAGTTCGACAAGACCCTTTAAGTTATATGTATACGTATAAGTTGTACTTTTACTTATGTGTGAAATCTCTCTATTCTGCCCCTAAAATGGTTATAATTTTGGAAAGATTGTTGTTAATGACAATTTATTGGCCCTTTGTTATTTTTGACAAATATGGAAAAAGTGCAGATATTCTGGGATTAGTAAGAGAAAAACGCTTGAAAGTTGCG